GGGTCAATTGCTGACCTGTTTTTATGTTCAAGTACATGAGAGAACATTACGAAGTGAAGGCTCATGCCAGCTCATCATTTTGCAAAATTTTCATAGATTATTTTTGTTCCACTGAGGCAGGTGCAACAGGAAGAGATAGCTTACACTTGAGTCCATGTTTCGGTCCACAAATACATATCCCACCCCAAAAACTGTCCATATCTTGTGTCTTCTCACAGGCTCTCTGCAGAGTCCAGTTGTATCCAGTCTTAAGGAAATAGGACGGATTGTTTATACAAGATACAGAACCTCTTTATTAGTTGAAGAATACTAAGGAGTGATAAGCATTGTCCATATGCCCCCAGTGCTTCACACCTCACTCTCCGTGGAAGGTATGTGATTACCCCTCCAGCCAGTATCCGACAAGGACATGCGCCGTTCAGGGGTAGGTGGGAGCAGGACACTGCCATTCTCAGACTGTTCTTCCTGTAATAGTTGTTGTGTCTCAGTCAGGTCAAGAGAAGCAGTGCTTGCCTGCAGTGATACTGTGTCCGTCTTAATGCACACATGGTCCCGAAGGATGCTCGCCCTTGAAGGCTTCACCTGCTTGAGGTCATCCCAATCACTCTCCTCTCCAGACAGTAAACCAAAACCTTCCAAAATACGGATCTTCTCTTTAGTGCATCCACTGTCAGGAACAGTCTGCAAAATGTAAAAGAATGTTATTCACTAAACCAGAAGTTGTCTGATAAACACGAAAATTGCCCAAAAAAATAAAATAAATATAAAATAGCCAAAGTTAGATTATTTGTTCCAATTCCATCATTTTGTCTTCATATTGTAACACCTATTACCAGTTTAGTGAGGGGGGAAAAAAAAGTCCAAGAGTTTTAAAATTTACCAAATTTACCATTTGGTTTAAAACACTCAGTAAAGAAACACACATATACACAGGGTTAATTGCTAAAGTGAGAATTCAAAGTGAATTTCACATTGAAGGCCAAAGAAGCGTAAATGGAAGTATAGCGGATTTAGAGAATTTTCTTCCAGTTCTGACATTTTTCCCCTTGGATTTAACCTTCTCTTTAAATTCAATTAGTAAATTAAATAGAATGTGCAGATTAAGTGCAATACTTAAATATAATGTTCGATATTGCCTTTTACAAAAGCACACATCGTCTGGAGTTTGTCTTTATTTGGCATACTCTAAACACATACAATTTATATAGCAGATATGCATTTTAATAAATAAATTTAGTCAAAGGATAAAAATAAAAAAAAGTTAAATTCCCAATTAAAAATGATTCGGGATAAAATTAGGAACCTTCTGTTATAGTATAACTACAGTTGGAGTAAGAGCTTAAGGATATCACATTGTGGATGGGTACAAACAAAACATTAAATCACAGTATAAAGTAAGGACAGAAACATTAAATGTGCATGCGCTGTGTGTAATGGGAGAAACCCAATCTGAATTCAAGGAGGTTGATAGGATTAAAGAGAAGGTTAGACTTTTCAGATTTGCATTCAAGATTCTGAAATATTTCATGCCTTAGTTTTGCACTCACGGGAGGAAAAAACAAAACTAAAAAAAATAAAAAATAAAATAGTTCCTGTTAATGAAGAGAAAGAGGAAACCGAAACAGAAGCAAGCAAATTAGAACCACTGAGACTATGCCGAACAAAATGTTCGTAGCACTCGGAATCAGGCCACAAAGAATTAAGAGTTTGGCAAACCTAGAACACACACCGGGTGCAGCAGTCCCCAATACCTGTGGGTGATAGAAGTACTCAGAAGAGGAAAGGAGAGAGACTATCAGAAGGAGAAGAGCGCTGCAAGGGGAAAATAACGTGACATGAAAATGTTAAATTTGTGCCAAAGACAATTCAGATGACATTGGCCGCCATGCAAACAGACTTTTCATAGCATATTTAAATGCCTGAAAACTTCACGTTACTTTTTGTGGGGTTTTTTGATACTCAATTCTGATTTTCCAGAGCCAGTTTTCTGTCGTTTTGGCAAATTTAGGATTAAGATTTTTCCTTGATATTTTATATCTAGGGGCTAACTAAAGCAATCTGCTTAAAAAGGTACATTTTCTTCGTTACAGTGGTTTACTGGAAGGTTAAATTTTATCTTGGTTCTATTGCAGTGAGGAACAGCGATTACTTTCCGAATTAATTCCTAAAACCTTTAAAGACCTTCATCATTTTTAAATAACATTTTCCTACTGAATTTTTTTGCAGTCAATGGCTGCACTATATTAGAAAGCCAACATACAGATTCACCATTCAAATATACACAACATCCTTCCATATATAATTGTAGGGCAATCGTTAATTTCTATCATGTCAATGAGAATGTACACACCACTATAACACACATATATCTACCAAAAGTTGTAATAGTTTGTCTCATCCGATGTTAGATTCCCCCTTTATATTATTGTAAAATGATACATAAATACCAATAATAATAAATAATACTATGTAGGTGGGTCCTATGTGCAAGTAGCATTTCTACACAGGCGTATTATGATATTATCCCATATAACCCGGCAAGACACCAGGCATTGGCAGAGTTATCCCAACCTCTGCCTGGTTAAAGCAGCAGCACCTGGGGGCCCCAATCACAGCCATTCCAACCATCATTCACAAGCTTACAGCGCTCACCTCTTTTCTGTGCCGCTGGAGGTGGCAAGTAGTTGGCTTATGTACAGCTTCTATCTTCACTTCCTGAGTGGATGTACGGTATGAAGGGTTACTGTAGGTTAAAGTGCTAAGTCCTGGGTCTGACAGCTTTGCACGTCGGTGCCTGTTATTGAAAAAATAAATACATTTTAAAAAAAAAGAAAGAAAAACCAAGTGTAAAATAGAGGAAGACATTCACAAACTGGCATGTATGCAATAGTTTATAAATTAACCTAAAGTGCAAACACTCTCAAATTAAAGTATTTTCCTGTTGCAGCCCACCACATGGACATGGACACTCTGGAGACACTCCTGATCGAAGAATATTTTATTCCCAAACAATGTCTTCACTCTTGGAAATAGATAATTTAGTTTTTCTTACAAGCACTTCGTATTTTCCATTTATGTTCTCCTTACCAGGTTCCCAAATTAATGTAGCCCCCAGCCTTCCCAACTATCCCAGCCAAGCACCCCAAAGCTCTTGTTGATTCTCAAATCCTTAGCCTGTCTCGCAGGGATCACTCACTCCCAAACAATCTGCCCACCACTTGTTTTTTTTTTTCCCAGTGCACTTTATTGCCAAATACCCATCCTTGCTTTACGCTGTTCTAACAAGAAGTCCTTACGATCTCAGGCAACCCATTTTTTTTGTTTTTGTTTTTTAATAAATAAAATTTTTTCCCCATAGAACCATTTAACATTAGTATAACCACTTAACTGACAGACACTAAAAATATCAATGTTCAGGTACTTCCAGTGTCCCCCTTTGTGTGTTTGAGGTTAAAAGAATTCTAATATGCACAAAGCTAACAAACAAGCTAAAATCACCCCCAGAAAACGGCAATCATTAAATCGGAGTTGTTGGGGTTTTTAAAGTCTTGCTGTAATGCCCTTTCAGTCACTCACTAACCTGTATATCAGCAACGCGGACATGAGGAGGAGAAGGCACAGAAGAGACAGTGACCCAGCGATTATGTATGGTACACGCAGTCTATCCGCTGTAGAGAAAATATATATAGGTTAACGGACACTCACACTTCGCAAACATACTGCGCAATTCTCCCCCTCTTATAAAACGCACTCACCTGTGCTGGCTGGTATGGCTCCGTTAGATACACAAAGCCCCCGGGCCCCATCCTCATCTGAACAGCTAGAATAAAAATAAGAATGAAATATTGAATTGGTAGGAGGTAGAGGCATTCGAGAGGAGTATAGTACAAAGAATGTGGCTAATGCTACCATGGGAACAAGGATCTCAAGTTTGGGGAGATAAGGTGGACCAAACTGCTCTCCTTTGCTGGCAAAAGCTAGAATTTGTTTTATTCTTAAATTTCAATATTTGTTAAAAAGGAGGAATCAATTATGCAACTGAACATCACAAGCACAGGCTTTAAAATGCAATAATGATATTAACAAGATCGGCAGTGTGTGTTTGATTTTAGGAGACAAGCGGTACACCACTCTATTTATATTGTATTCCTTCTCTCAGATAGTATTACAAATACAGGAATAGTTGGCAAATAAGTAAGACAAGGGTATGATAGGGACTCTAAGGAGTCCATGCATGGCCTTCAGGATTACTCATGTTTTAGGTTGTTAGCATGGCAGATATAATGTCAGTGGTTCAATTCATGCTGATTTACTTTTGTGGGTAGGCTGTTTGTAGTAAACATACTAGAGGCAGAGATTCCCTACACACATACCTTCCAGCAGTAACCCCAACGCCATCATTCCCTCGCTCGCCTTGGGTGTTTGGACTGATGGGACCAGAGATCTTCTCACTGTGGTTGGTTGGTAAAGGAGCAGAGGGTAGGAAACCAGGAACTGCAGCGAAAGAGAAATAGGTCAGTTCCAGTTATCCCATTATGTGTACGTCTACATTGTTATTTATTACAATATGAATTCAAAGATAATTTCAAATTCAAGGGCAGACTATCTAAACTGAATGCAAACTAGTTCGGTCTTAAATTTTAAATTCACTTTGAATTCTCACTATAGTAAATAGCCCTGCTAGTGTTACTGAATAGAGGATACAACTTCCCTGATGCTAGCTAATCGCAAATCAGACAATCTCCATGCATGGTTGGTATTGGTGTATAAATAACTACTCCTACGTACTCTATCGATAAAATAAATCTAGCCAAAATATTGGGGTCTTGAGCAGAGTGTTTCACCTTTTTTTCTTTAAAATAACATTCTCTGTTCTCATTTGACATTCTATCTCCTGGTTGGAAATGGACTTTGTCATAAGGATTTGTTAGAGATGATTAGCATGAATATTGTAGCTCCTTTGACATATGGCCAATCAACATTAATATTAACATTTTGATAGAATAAATAATATATAATATAAAGGTGCACTCACAGGACTTTGTAAATAAATCTTGAAGTTTTATTGTACAATTATACACCAGAAAAAGTGCTGACGTTTCAGTCCTCTATGGGACTTTTCTCAAGACGTCTTGCATACTATGTTTATGTAAAATTATTTGGGGTAATTTATGAAGTGCTAAATTTGGAGTAGCACACTTTGAGAAAATCCTTTGGGATGAATATCTCCAAATATCTGCAAAGTAGGAAAGGATTGGAAGTGCTCCAATACTGCCATGAATAGTTTGGCGATTTCTCATAATACATTTTAAATTTTTTGAATAAATAAAAACGGCAGTGACCTGGTGCAGGGGGTCACTAAAAGTACCAAGCAATTGTACATTTCTCCAGCCCCTCTCTGGTTAAAAGGGGTTCAGACAGTCCCCAGGCAAGTTTTTTTTTTTTTTTTTTTCCTCTCATTTGCAAACGCCACACTAGCTGAAATCTCAGAACATGCAGATTCAGAGGTTTTTCAGTGTTTGGTAAATGTCTGCCTGTCATATTTGGTAGATTTTAGAGCTTTTTCTAGTTTATATTCTGTTCCTCAACAGACACCAATTCACTCTAGACCAAGCATGTCAAACTCAAAGTGTGGCACTGGCCACATAAACAAGGTTTAAGTTTATGTGGGGGACAGACAGACAGACACACACACTGACAGACACACATACTTGGTGACATACTGACACACAGACACATACTTTTCTTTATTGCTCCTTACCTTTTGGAGCTGATGTGGGGCATCTCCCAGGGGTCCTTCCTGCTCCTCACTGCTGCCGCGCGCAGTTTAGTGATGCCGGGTGCCAGAATATGACGTCATATTCCGGCGCCCGACTTCACTTCAGTCGGCGCGCGGGAGGGAGCAGTGAGGAGCTGGAACACTGAGCTCCCTCGCTGCCGCCAGAGACCTCTCCCTCGGCCGGGTAAATGAGCAGAGTAGACACCTGCAATGTGGGGAGAGCAGGTGCCTACTCTGGTTGGATCATTAGGCATGTACTCGCGGCTGGTCCTTGCGGGCCCCGAATTTGACATGCTTGCTCTAGACTGTATTTTTAAAATCCAACCCTAAATTGGCATGAATGCGATTTTACGTCAACATTTTAAATTGTTTCCAAATGTTTAATTTGAGATGAATATCCTGATCTTCACAAGCATGCATAATTTAATAAAAACTGTATATGTTTTTATTTTCCTTCTTCAAAATATCTATTTTGAACATATTTTGTGTAAATACATTAGAAAAAAATCTTTTTTTACTGTGCAAAAAGGATAAAATAAAAAAAATACAAAAACAGTAACAGAATTTCATGTTATTGAATTGATTATAATGCCTGGAGTACACTTGCGCTGTTCCTTCACTCAGTGTTAAACTATTTTTAAGTGGTTTAACACTAAATAAGGGTCCTCGGCCACCCACAGCCTGTCACATCCTGTCCCCAGGGAGATATGGTTCAGACAGAGATTACACACTTCCTTCCAGCCATACCAATTCATACCATCAATAGGTGCTGTGATAGGCTCAAAGCGGTCAGCTGATATGCTCAGCCAATCACAGCTGCCCAATGCTGCTCAGGCTAATGCTTCCTCATTAGCTTAAGCAGCACAGAGGAGATGGGGACTCTGTTTTAGCATTAAAACTGGTTTAACAATGAATGGAAGGACAGCACCAGAGGGCTCCAAGGCACTATAACCACTTCAATAAGATTAAGTAGTTACAGTACCAACAGTGTCCCTTTAAGTGTGTAAAAATATGGTAGTGCTGTAATTAAAATATATATTTCACTTTTTCAACCTGCGATGGTGCACAAACAGCGGCACCAATCCAGGGCCTCCTACTCACCGGCCCTAGCTGGCTGGGAAACACTCCTCCATGACTTTGAAGACCCGGACGCACCAGACTGGGGCTCCGTGCCCCCAACTGAGCACACACCAGCCATGGGGCACCGCACACAAAAACCTGGGGCTGGGATACCACCTGACAACAGGGTTATCGGGACCATGCTGCAGAGACAAGTACCTCACAAGATGGCGTCTGCAGAGGGCCCCCACAGAACACATTTTAAATCCCTGCATAACTCCAAAATGTTTGTCGCCCAAAATACAGGACCTTCACATACCTACCATACCACCACTTACTACACTTACTGTAGAGCGTTTCACCCTACCCAGCAGAATACTCTATCTACCCATAAACCAATCCTCACAAGCAGGACACATTCCAGACTAAGGACGCAGTTCTTGTGTATGTATGTATGTATATATATATATATATATATATATATATATATATATATATATAAAAAATTTTAAAAAGTGCATTTATTCCTTGATGTCTGTTATTTGTGCACGACTTATTGCTTAAGCTACTGACATGTTTTCTGTTGTTCATGCCTTTTACACCTCCACTACAAAAAAATAAATAAATATATATATATATATATATATAAAATATTCAAATACTTGCACTCCTGTAGAGATAGATTAATGCCTGGTGCTAATAAAGCAAATACATATATATAAATAAAATATATATAAATAAAATTTTTGTATTTAACTAATCCTATCAATTTTTATCTGTGTGGACCATTCCCGAAACCAAATGATTAAAGTCACATTTAAGATTACATGTCCTAATATGTTTAGTGTGATAATATTTAGGAACGCCACAAGTATAATTTTGGAGGTAGAAGTCTTCTAGTTGCTGGTTTTCAGCACATCAGGAATGTAAAATGTTCGTGAGAGATATATCCTCAACGCAAGCACATAGAGAGCAGAGTCATATTTTGCAATAATAAAAGTTTCAGGGTACTCACTGAGGGAGCAAGTCTCAGCATCAACGTCATCCGGACAGCCACAAACAAAGTCATAACTTCTGGCAAAGCAGAGGTGAGAGCAGCCCCCATTATTTACTCCACACGAATTAGTACCTGATGGGATTAGGAAAGAGGATAATGGTTTGAAGGGAATCCCACACAGAGGCAGGAAATAAATACAGGTCATGGAATGGGATGTGTCAACACTTTGAAATAGATTAAAAGGTTTCTCTAACCAACAATCAGCGCTTTAAAAGTAACCCTTCTTATCTTGGTTCTCCCCTCAAAATGTAAATATAAATTTGAATCATTGAAGTTGTCAAGGTGCTTGGAGTAACCCTTTGAGCAAATTAGGACTCACTTACAAAACAAACATTGATGTGAGATAAACAAGTGATTGACCAAAGAGCAAACAAATTAATCTGTTGTCTGTTTCCTGAGCTATCTAACATCCTGTTTTGGCTAATTCGATCTCACCAAGTTCAAAAGGAAATGTAGACACCCTTATTTATTATGCCTGGAGGGGTGGCAGCCACATCTTAATTAAAGGGGGTAAAAAACTACATCTGGATTTCCTGCACGTCTTATCCAACAGGATCTACCTGACATTTGGAACCTAGACTGCATTTATGGGTGGAATTGGTCAGATAAGCAAATGATATAGATTCTCTCTGTAATGGTACAAGTAAGCTTCAACTTGTATGAAATTTGAATGAAGCCCACAAAACTAAGCCGATTACTTATTTTTTTTCTGCTCTCAATGTACTCTTACATCTTATTTGGAATAACATGGATAAGTGTATGGTTCTATAAAGACACCATGATGACAACGGACTTTACGATCAGAAAACATGAATTCTGCAAAGAATAAAAATATAATATAAATGAAATGCAAAAACTACAACTTTCTTAAGAAACAAAAACAAGAAACATGATTAACACCAAGATATACAATTGATTGAAAAGTGTTGAACGAGAGGGTCAGAACAGCTTATTCGGTGCCTCCTATACCTGTCTGTCTGTGAGGAGACACCACAATGATATCCATCAGGCCTTCAACATTTCCCAAAACAGTCTCCTGGTCCCGACCAGTGTATTTATCTACTCTCTGGATGGATTTTGTCTGCCAGTCTGTCCAGTAGATCCAGCGTCCTTCCTGTCAGACATATTAGTAAATATAATGAACATGCTGTTTGGAAAGAATAGTTTCAAATGCTTCTTAAAGAAAATGCATGATTTTACAGCTCTTCATCCTCATTAGGAAGAAACATTAGTGGCTCCTTCATTTCAATTAATTTCTCGAAACATTACTGGTCAATAAAGCTTCTTTGCAATCAAGAAAAAAAGTATTGTCAAGAAAGCACAACGTGTGGGTAAAGACTGCCCGCATTTGGGTATCTCAGGGGACCAGGCTGAACCCAGTATGCACACCTGTGTGAGAGCGAAGGGATGAGACATCTGACTGATTAGCACTTGGCGCATCTTCCCGTTCAGATCAGCGTGTTCAATGCGATCCAGGTGTGCGTCAACCCAGAATATCCTGAAAAGGGCCACATAGAACGATCCAATCAGACAATTCCTCAACAGGAAAGGTTAAAGGATCTTAACATGTATAGCTTGGAGGAAAGACGAGACTGGGGGATATGATAGAAACATTTAAATATATAAAGGGAATCAACACAGTAAAGGAGGAGACTATATTTAAAAGAAGAAAAACTACCACAACAAGAGGACATAGTCTTAAATTAGAGGGACAAAGGTTTAAACATAATATCAGGAAGTATTACTTTACTGAGAGGGTAGTGGATGCATGGAATAGCCTTCCAGCTGAAGTGGTAGAGGTTAACACAGTAAAGGAGTTTAAGCATGCGTGGGATAGGCATAAGGCTATCCTAACTATAAGATATGACTAGGGACTAATGAAAGTATTTAGAAAATTGGGCAGACTAGATGGGCCGAATGGTTCTTATCTGCCGTCACATTCTATGTTTCTATGTTTCTAACACATGGCACTTGTGGACGTTGTATGGGGTAAATTGGTGAAATTCAATCCCAGAATTGTATGTATTTTGATGGGATACGTAGAAAGGGAACAAAGGGGGATGACTGGTGGAAACCACTTTCTAGTGAGAATTCCTGCTTTTAGATAAATGATGAGAAATAAAAAAATATATCAAAATAGACTTCCAAACCACCTAGTTAATTAATCTAATCAGGGGGCAATAAACATCTTTTGGATTGGGAACTAAATCTGATGGAGTAATTTTTTAATATGAAAAGCACCAGTATGTTAGGGAAAGGTCACCAACATATTAAATACAGAAACGGTTATAGTTATTCATTATTTTTAACTCCCTGAATAAATGGTCACCGATTGGGCTGTTCAATGTTAAGGACACTTACCTGCGGGTGTCATAATCCAGAGTTAATCCATTTGGCCAGCCCAGATCAGTGTTAATTATAGTCTTGCGGTCAGAGCCATCTAAATGAGCCCTTTCAATCTTCGCAACGTGACCCCAGTCTGACCAGAAAAGAAAACTAAAGCAAATGGATGAAAAGAACAGAATTATGTGAGCATATGAGGAAAAACAACAATTACAGGAAAGAAGAAAATCACATATAGATACAAGCCAATTCAGAAGAGGTTACGGACCCTGTTCTTGCACATAAGAAACTATGCCCACGTCTTACAGAAAACAAGCATATTGCCACCCTACCATTCCTCTTAAACTGCTTTCAATGGAACCACTAAGAGAAAAACGAATTATGAGCAGGTATAGATCATCAGACAATGCTGGGCACACTGTCCACCTAGCGGTCATTGGACTACAACACCCAGTAACTCCATGCTACTTCCTGTTCCTCAAATTAAACTACATGCACATTGCACCAGGATCTTGATAAATAGCCCATAAACAAAAGTCCAGAAGAGAGATGAGAATGTATGAGAGCTATACGTGGTCAGATTCATGTTTGTTTTAAGATAAAGTACCAGCTTTATAAACAATATCTATGCTCACCCCTTTCTTGGAAATACTGCAATGGCACGAGGTTCATCCAGACTGTTATTTATAAGCACTTTCCGGTGTCGTCCGTCCAGCCGAGACACCTCTATGGTATTCCGACCAGTGTCTGTCCAATATAAATTTCTGGCAACCCAGTCAACCGCCAGCCCATCGGTGGTCTTCAGTCCCTCACCAATAACAGTCTCCATGCCCACTCCACTCAGATCTGCCCTCCTGGGGAAAAGAATGCCATCATGACACTGAACTTGAGGACTATAAGGTGCATTAAAAGGTCATATAAGGAAAAAAGTGGGTATAGGAGAAGTTCTCAATATATCCATTAGGACAGAACTAGATAACATTTAAATCGTGGGGTTGCTTTGAGAATTACAGATGCACACTTTATCAACATATGCCAGCACGGAAATGGAGAAACGGTAAGTAAAAAAATCACCTTTTAACGCCACAAGGAGGGGGGCTGGGCACCTAAAAAGCTAGTTTAAAACTATATTGTATACAATGTCACTCTTAAGGCAAAAGAAACCACCTAGCTTCTCCCTTTCTGAGACACCAAGTAATACTGGTAAGCTTTGTAGTAGACTGCTCACTTTTCCAGGAGTACAAGGAGTGAATGAAAACTCTACAAAATAGACTAATCTTATTCTCCATGTTATTTTGTGGTGTAAGAAATTCCATGCTGTCTAAGCACCTGATCACATCCAGGAACACATCTGTGTAGTATATTTTTCCATCCACACTGTCGTAATCCAGAGAGATGACATTGTTGAGCTCCTGGATGGGAACATAGACGTCTGTATAATCATTAGTGTCGAGTGAAATTCTGCGAATGGAGCCTCGACTGGAGAACAGGAGGTAAGTGTCGGGAGAAGGATCACACGTCCGGCCATCACTCTTCAGCTGGATACCAGTAGGACAGGCACATGAGTAACTGGATGGGTTTGGCAGACACAGATGGGAGCAGCCCCCATTTCGCTCTCCACACTTGTTAAATCCTACAACAAAGAGGAGAACATAAAACATGCTTTGTAAAAAATAAAATCAGATCTACAAAGAAATCAATACTTCAAAATTGTGGAAAATGTCATAAATTTTGATTAAATAGGTTTTAATATTTATTCCTGCTTTAATATATTTCATTTTCAAATTGTGGCTGGGAAAAGTCCATTTAAAAACGGAGAGTAGATGGAACTGACCTAGGGCATGAGTCCTGTCCACAGCTTGAATGTCCATGAGGCCGGCCAAGTTGTCTCGGACTACAATAATATTTGCCCCTGTGTCTTTATCTGCCCTTTGGATGCTGCGTGTCTGCCAGTCAGTCCAGTAAATGTGGGCATCCAGGAGAGTGAGGCCATATGGATGGTGGACTGGAGACACAAGGATCCGTCTGTTTCTCCCCATAAGGTCCGAGGCCTCTATCCTCTGGAGACAGGAGAGAGCGAGCATGAGATAGTGAAATGAAAGGTGGAGGAAGAAAAAGAATGGTCGTTTTTTTTTTTTTTGTTTTTTTTTAGCAGAAACACCTAAAAAGTGACAAAGCCATTCTATTCTTGCTTCTTTTTCCAAGTCCTTCATCTAAACCCCTCAGATGTACCTCAGTATGTGCATCTGCCCACAAAAGTTGAGATCCAGCCTTGTCCACAGCCAGTCCATTTGGCCATCCGAGATTCAAGCTGATCAAAACTGTTCTGCCTGAGCCATCCATTCCTGCTCTTTCCAGCTTTGCATTCTCCCCCCAGTCTGACCAATACATGTATCTACAGACAGGACAAAAGTCATAGTTATTTAGAATTGACCACATAGTATTTTATTTTTGGTTTATGGAATGACGAGCACTTGCTAAACTATAGCTCCGGTATCACCACACCAGTAGTAAATTCAAAACAATAATAAATTTTTTTTTAAAAATACATAAAAATGAATGGTCCACCACTCTCCAAAAAAAACAAACATGGTTTTTATTCAAGCTTTCTCCTATGGGAGGGGTCTGCTATGCAATAAAAAAAAAAAACACTACGTTATTTTTGGAAAATGCTGGACCATTCTTCTTCTGCTTGCAATCACAGATCATAAATGTTGGGAAATTCTAAACCAAAAAAGAAGAAAACATGCAGTGGCACTTACCCCATTTCATGGTAAAGGGCAATGGCTCGAGGGCTGCCCAAGTTCTGCCATACAAGCACCTTCCTCATAGAGCCATCCAAATTTGCCACCTCAATTCGATTTGTCCCAGTATCTGTCCAGAATACTTTTCGGCCGATTGCATCGACTGCCAGACCGTCTGTGGTGACCAAACCTGAGAGAGTCAAAAGACAAGTTGGAATGTAAAAAATAGTTATAAAAAAATAAAAATAAAAATAAAAATTCGTCTTAGGTGCCATTTCCATCAATCGCAAAGACAGCAAGTAGTTGAATTACCGGTGGTGATAATGTCTTGGTGATCGGACCCATCTAGAGCTGCTCGACTAATTTTCCGTAGTGTGCTGTCTGCCCAATACACCAAACCTAAAAAAACAAAACAAGGAAAAGCAGGGCAAACAGGACAGTCACAAAAATGGTCACTATGAAGACTGCTTTTGTACATCGATTATTTCCATTTGTTTATATTTCCCCCATAAAAGTCACAAGTTAATTCATGTTTACATACAAGGCATCACAAAACTATATAATATATTAGATATACTAGGGAATATCATCATCCTCACCCATGCCCATAGCTCACCATCCAGTGGGTCCACACCAACAGCTATTGTGTTCTTCATGGTAGCATTAACCGGGAGAACGACATCTGCAAAATATGGGATATCCAGAGAGACAGAGCGAATGTCTGTCCTGCGAGCAAAGATGAGGAAACGGTCCATTCCTATGTGAAAATGAGGAAAAACAGAATCAGTAAAAAAATCGCAAAGCATAGCCGGGGTTGGAAGAGGGAATTTTAACAAGAGGGATGAGAACCACAGATACACAGAGCATTAAAGCTGCTCCAGAACTTAATTGTATAATTGTAAAAGTCATGAAAAGGAAGAGACTTAAAAGTAATCTATAGGTCAGGTATTCTGGTGTTTCTTCTAAATCATTCACTTTTAATGTATTGTAAAGGGGGGACCCCCCCTCCCCCAAACCTTCTATATTCAGTTGTTTTTGTTAGAATGCATTTAAGAAGAAACAAACACCAGAATGCCTGCTCATATAAAAGTAACGACCTGCCACAGTTGAAATATAAAAGGCAGATGAAGGTTAGCCGTCCATAGATCAAGACAGCAGCTGTACAGTGGAAGTCATTGATAAAACACGTGTAAACATATTGACAGATTGTGAAGAGGATCGGTAAAAGTCACCTGATGAGCAGGTACGGCCATCTCCAAGCAGATTGACCCCCGTAGGACAGGCACAGCTGTGACCTTTTGGCTGAGGTGAGAGAAGACAGATATGGCTGCATCCTCCGTTATTTTTGGAGCAACCAGACTGGACTGCAGAGCGGGAAGATTGGATATAATGTTTCTTAGAACACACACTATGTAAAGGTTAACATTTATATAGAGGTATTTTTTTTTAAATGGTAGAGTTACATACCCTGCTCCCGATGGCGGTGGAACACATGGATGTCCATCAGATTCTCAAGGTTCTCCCGCACAGTTTTACGTCCAAGCCCAGTCTTCCGGTCTGCGCTCTCAATACTTTTTGATTGCCAGTCAGTCCAGTAAATTCGATCCCCGTACAGAGTCAAACCAAAAGGGTGCGGGAGATCATTATTCATCAGTACCTAAAAGGTCCCAAAATACAAACTTAGAACTTAATCATATTTTTCTATAGTTTCTGTACCATATGTTTGCCATAAATTACATTTACTTTACTCTAAAGTAATTTCTGATCATTCTCTCTTCTGCTACAGGTTCCTCCCTTCTTTGTTCCCAAATCCTACTTCTTTGCTTTGACTGTTAGCACCAGTAATCGCTCTGATCTTACAGATACACCATCAATCTTCTCCATGTGTATTGTTAATGGTGCACCTTCAAATATACATTACCTAACTTTGACAACTGCATTGTAGTGATACAATACATTGTATAATGTCACTGTCAAGGTTACATGGCAGCTGTGATTCTAACTATACATCATCTGAATTGAGCAACATCTAGGATTTATATCTATAGTGTTGTCAAGTTGCGATATATAGCTAAAATCAAAGCTGATAAAACTTGATAATATAATATAATGTATTTCTCTCTCGCTCTCTATCTATATAGTAGTGCTGTCAAATTTAGGTGATCTACTGCTACACTAAGATTCACTGATAGGAAAACAAACATCAGTATTAATGCCTGAACCCCCCAAAAAAACACACTATGCTGTGATATACTAAAAATCAATTTGCAAGCCCTCCAAGAACATATGACATTGAGCAATCGGGTTTCCTTTAGATTAGATATCTGCCTGGCACTCCCAAGCACTTTGTACGGCTACCTGATAACACCTTGGTTCTATTAAATGGCATCATGCAGTAACTGGAAAATGATTCCAGCCTACACTTGTCTATGATATATGGTCCTGCTCAAGGAAAACTTGGAGAACGTTAGATAAAGTATTTTTAGTTTTCTTGAATGATTGTTCTGTTGTTGAACTGGTTCTTGGGTTACTAAATAAAGTTTGTGTGAGGTTTATGTCTAAAAAGGACTTGTCTACTCACATATTATCCACTCACGGACTTCAACTCTCACTGGCTTTGGATTCATCCAACACACTCATTCTCACACCTAGCTGGAGACCAGTGGAACAGACTCCTCTATTAAATCATGAGTTTAAAACTTTTTATAAACTCCTGAAGACAGTAATTCACCTTGATTTCTCATAACTCAATCCATTGTAATAGTCACAATCTCAAGCTGCATTTTCATCTCCATTATCCCCATCACGAGAGGGAGTGTCGATTTTGTCCTTTTATCCTAGTTTTATAAATAATTGCATCAGGATAATAAATATGTGCTTGATAGTCTCACCTGTCTGTCAGACCCATCCAGCCGTGCAGATTCAATGGTCTTCATTCCTGCGTCAGCCCAGTAAAGTCTCTCTGAGTCATAGTCAATGGCTAGTCCATTTGGCCAGGTTAGGTTGGAGGAGATGATGACCATGCGACCAACGGCATCCATCCCTGCACGCTCGATCTTTGGGTTTGCTCCCCAGTCTGTCCAATACATGTATCTGGAATAATAAAACATTTTGTAACACAGCCGACAGGGTTGAATTAAGTGCAAAGTAAGATGCTAAAGGTCTTACGAGCCTCATGTTATAATTTATTGGTATAAGATATATACATTGGAGTTAACATTCCATATATAGCCAAGTCAGACATTTGAAAAACTGAATCATTTACATCAGATTTAATAAACATTTTTTAATGTTGCATGGTTTGGACATTTCCAAAGCTTCCGTTTGTGAATAAGGTTGACAATATCCAATTTGGGGACAAAGGCAAAATAGTTTAATTTGTTTACTTAACCATTTTAGGCAAGCAACATACATGTACAGTACAGAAAAACACTTACCCTCCTATTGGATCCACCACAATATCCCGTGGGCGGTCTAGGTTCTCCCAGATCAACACACTGCGCATTGACCCGTCAGTATTTGCTACTTCGATTCGGTCCGTACCTTGTAGGAGAGAAGTTACAATTTCAATTACAGTCATCTTGTACATCTTCGAGCACTCTCTCTCTAAATAAACTCCCATATCAGTCCTATATTCTGCATAAACACGGTTTGAAATGTGTCAGCGAGAAGATGGCCATATTTCACCTTGATCAGTAAAAGACATTGAGGATTATTTTCAGCAAATAAAAGTTAATTCTGGATTTTGGGATGCTTTTGCTACCTCACTTTTTTCCCTGAATGCAGTGATTTCTCACATCACAAAATCAGAAAGAAAAATCATGATTTAGAATTTAAACTGGTAATGAGTACTTTATGTGGTTGTTTTCTTCAAGATAATGGGAGTTACCAAGCCAGCAGAACCAAGTGCAAAGTACATTACCTGCATCTGTCCAGTACAGTTTGTGAGTGATCCAATCTATGGCAAGTCCAGCTGGACTCTCTAAGCTTGTTTCTATGACCACCTACGGATACAGTGAACACAAAATACATATAAGAATGTAATGTGTGACATTTACAACCCAAGACGGATAGTGGAATCCCAAAACAAACAGAGCACTTCTGCTTTGAAAGAAACTACGGTAAATTCAATTATCATAATCTAACAAGTCAATACCAAGGAAGAACAGGATGTTCTAGAGGATCTACTAGAAACAGTATCACCGATTTTCTTTACAACAAACATTCTGTTAAACATCCTTAGCTGAGAAAGTCTTTGGTCTTGGAACAATTTATACAACGATTTTGTAATATTTTATTTACATTTCCCTTTTTTTTTTCCTTCATGGAGCTTGTAAGGTGGTTCCCCCACATTCACATTACATAAATAACTTGACAAGATACAAGAAAAAAAAACAAAAAAAAAAAACCAAAAAAAAAAAAAAAAAACTATAAAACAAAGAGTCTGGGTTATATTGCTCTAATGATACATAATTTGAATAGAATCTCAATATTCTAAAAAAAATAAATACAAAATAATAATTTCCACCATTCTCCGTGTCCCATCACATTTCTCTAACTTTTAACTACCATCATCTTCTCTTACCTCCTGGCCACTGCCATCCCACTTTGCCCGGCTGATTGAGTCAGTGGTGGTATCACTCCAGTACATGTGGTCGTAGTTGGAGTCCCAATCCAGTGCTACAGCACTGCGCACATCAGACAATGGGATAACATCATCAGACAGGTCATCTGTATCAAAGCTGATCCTCCGGATGTCCGTCCTTCGGGCAAAAAGCAGGAACTTGTCAAGACCTGATCGAAGGTCAAAGGTCATCTTAATTCCTTCAGGTTCAAAGTGGCACAAACATAGCAAAAAACGAGGGAAGGGTGTGCAAGGGAAAGAAGGTCTTTCTAATGGGATGAGCTTAACAAATTTAGCCACAGTTGGTCATCAGTCAAAGAGCTGAGTAAGTTGTATGCAGACATTTTTGACTTTGAGAGGGAGATATTCATTCCCTTTACATTTTATCAATAGCTGCTTCTCTCGGTTAACTCTTTTAGCCATCACCTCCAAACTTCTCCTGCTACCTCTTGTCTCCAATTCCCATTGTATCCTTTAGATTGTAAGCTCACTGGCCATCTAGCTAAGCACTTTGTATAAAAGTACCACGATGGCTAGTTATTAGCCTATGGGCAGGGCTCTCTCTACCTCTTGTATTTGTCTGTGTATATTGTACATTCTCCACTAATTGTACAGCACTGCGGAATCTGTTGGCGCTTTAAAAATACCAGTAATAAATACTAAGATAAGTATGTATTTGGATATAAAAAAAAAAAATAGATTTTAATGATCATTTCTAGCTGTGGATTCCTAGTTACTTGTTGTCGGAAAAACCTATATCTGCAAACAATATCCCCACCAAACCACTGTTTCAGTACTTACTTCTGGCACAGGCCTGAGCACCGGTCTTTCGGAAACCAGTTGGACAAGCACAGGTGAAAGTGTTTCCACTGGGAAGACAGAGGTGAGAACAGCCACCATTGTTGGCTCCACAGCGATTAGCTCCTGAAGAGAAAAAAAAAAAAAAAAACAGGGTTGAAATCTTCCAAGGAGCAGGCTTGGCGCTGTATATATGGCAATGGTTAGGCTATCATACGTAGTGACTAGGTCTGACCTACTCACCTGCAGGTTGGCGCTGAGGGTGCAGAGTGTGAATATCCATGGGGAAATGTAATTTATTCCGGATAACTTCCTGATTCTTTCCTGTAAATTTATTGGCACTATTGATGCTTTTAGTGTGCCAATCAGTCCAGTACAGACTATCTTCAAACACAGTGATGGCAAATGGGTGTGGGAGCCCTGAAATAAAAAGCATTGGAAAAGAGTGAGAAATATAGCTTTTATTATTGAAATATGTAAGAGGAGCAATCAATCCTCTGGAAATTACACTAATTTTTTTTTGCGAGGTGATCTGCTTTCTTTAAATGAATATTAAAAATGTAGCAGTGGACACAAAAACAAAGTACATTACTAGCACAAAATATTTAAGTGGGAACGGTCACATCCCAGGATTTTTAATAATATGCTTAGCTATACTCTTTATTTAACATATGTATTTGTGGAGGATTACAAAAACTAAAATTAAATGGGAAAAAACCCAACAACTCTGTACTTGAAGTAAATTGGAATGTCAAATGCCAAGTGTAAAATAGATTTAAAAGAAAAAAAAAAAGTTAATTTAAGTTATAGGTAATTTTCAATATTGTTATTCACGATGTAATTTCCAGATAATTGTCAGCTCCACTTTACAGATTTTCAATATTGTTTTGAGAGTTAGGACTTAGAAAGAGCCACCTTACTGTTCCATTATATCAGTGATGGCTAATCACGGGTAGTCTAGCAGTTATTTCTCATTAAACGCATTGCCAAAGATGACCCGCTACTGGCAATCAATAAACAAAAATAATTTTCTTTAACCTTGACTAATCACAGCCTTGCGGTTGGATCCATCCAGGTCTGCTCTTTCAATGACATGGTGCTTGGCATCCACCCAGTACATGCGCCGCCCAGCATAGTCAATGGTCAGTCCATTGGGCCAGAAGAGATGTGTGTCAGCAATAACACGGCGATTGGTCCCATCCATGCTGGCATATTCAATACGTGGTGTGTTACCCCAATCTGTCCAGTAGATGGTGCTATTGAAACATAATTTATAGATTTGAAACTTTGACCAAACTAGAGTTATTATTGTTTAAAAGGAAATGCCACAATATGTAAAAAGCACAACCGCTAGCCACTTTGAATGTAAAAAAGATTGATCTTTCTAAATCTTTGTGTAGATTATAAATCTACAACAAAAGTATATATATATATATAGCGAAATTACCCTCGCCACTTGTGCCTGGAGAGGACGGCTTGCCGGCCTCTTGCCATGTGATTATGGTCCCTGGGAGGTTTGGCCCTTTAAATACAAATTTTGGGCATAATGGATTTTTGTTGTGCTGCTGCTGGCCCTTTAAGAACCATCTGGGGACATACTGTGACTTTTGGGAACAACGCCCCTTTAAGACTATGGCCCCTGGAAGATATTGCCTGGTGAAGACTATTTTAGCAGATTGGATTTTAAAAGACTTGCTGCCCCTTTAAATTGTATTGGAGCAGTTCTGCAGCTTTAAATTGGCACTTTGTATGATTTTTGGTTATGTTTATATTTAAAGTACGCTGATTCTGAATATGTATGTTTTATGGGAATATGATGCATATTTTTAAAGTTACAGTATATGTATAAAAATAGTATTTTTCCTGCCTGTGATAAATTACATTAACCCATTTTGTTCAGTAATTATATCACAGGCAGAGGGGAGGGATTGTATGTTGGGGCTGGGTGTGTTTTACGGTTTTCCTGTAAATGATTGGTTGTACTGTGTCCCACCTTGTGGGATGTCCCCTTGCATGGGGACTTGCATAAAAGCAGAGTGTGTGTCATTAAAAAGGAGTCTTGTTCCAGCATTAAGCTTTGGCTCATGTGTGGATTATTTGGCGATACCAGCGATATTCCTGTGGATTACTTGGTGATTTTCTTTTGTGGGAAGAAGGGAATGCTTGACGGTGATACAGTTCACTACCGTCACAATATTATATATATTCCACAATTTAAATGACACAGAAGAACAATAGGATTTGGATGAAAAAAAAAAAAAAAGTTAGAGACATATTTCAAAAACGATCATCTTTACTGACATAAAAACTAAACAGATTTGCCACAGTCCCTCCTCTCTCCCCAGCAGGTCCAGGGTGTCAAGGGGCCAGGTTTACGAATCTAGCCAATGTGGGACACCCCTGATTAACCAATTAAAACCAGGTGTAAACTTTATATCTCTAGCACTTACCCCTCCATGGGATGCAAAGCAATGGCTCTGGGTTTTTCCAAGTTGTTCCACAGAAGAACCTTACGATGCGACCCATTCAGATTGGAAACTTCGATTCGAGAAGTGCCAGAATCTGTCCAGAACAATTTGTCATGAATCCAGTCAATGGCGAGACCCCCTGACAAAAAAAAATAAATGATCAGCAACCGTAAACATTTTGGGGGGGAAATGTGTTATCCAGGAATCCATAAATGATGAGTCATTTAATTCAATGTTTTATTCATGTTTGAAGGTCAAGCAGTTATAGAACAGTAGGTCCAGTACACTTTTTTTTTTTTTTTTAATTTCATATCAAATTAAAGGATTTTTTTTAACCATTACTTTATCCATTTAAAAAAAACACTATACAAACTTTACATTTCTAGCTACACCTCTGATCACAGGAAAATGTCAAATAAAATAAATAAAGTAAAATCTAAATGTTCCATCAACAGCTACAAAACCACAGACTGTCCACTTTGGTCCTGAACCTCTAGTAAAACTATGGTCATCTTTAAAACCTATTCCCTACCTTGGCTTTATTTTGGTCAGTACCACCCATTTGTATTTCACTAACCTGGACTCTCGAGACCTGTAGATACCAACTCTTCAACATTGCTTCCATTGAGGTTAGCTCTCATGATTCGGTCAAGGGTAACATCTGACCAGAAGACAAGCTCACGGCTGTGGTGGAAATCCAAAGCGATGGCATTCTCCAGGTTATTCAGAAGAAGCGTATACTCCGAACGGTGTGGCAGGACCTGCCGTATATCTATCCGGTTTGCAAAAAGTAGAACTGGCTCTGGCCCTAGAGACCATCAAAATATTAAAATTAAATTGAGTAAACAGTCGCCGAAACTTTGGAAATTGCAAACAAATAAGTATTTTATAATCTTAATGAAGTCTTTATGGCTATTAATGTATTGTGTGTCTTACAACTATGCAGACTTTAATCATCATCTCTTCCCTTGCGCAATACTAAGAATTGGCTGACGTTCAGAGGACACAAGGATGTGACCAGGGGTCACCAAAGCGAACAGCCATCAATCATCATTCATTGTGAGAGCCAAAACAAACCTCATCTCCACTAGAGACTAATACAAAAGAAACACAAACACTTTAAACTCGCCATCTCCCTCCCTTACCGTCGCTCTCCTGCTTTATTAACAGACTGTGGCTCATTTCTCTTTCAGAACTTTGACCTCTTTACAGTAATTCATGTAGCACCCACACTGCTCTCTTTCTAGCACATTTTCTATTATTCTGTTCTCTATCTGGGCCTGTTCAGGTGGAAACGGCCCTGTTTTACATTAAAATATTACGAGCAGGAGAATGACAGGATCATCCTATATAAACATATAGATAGCGAGAGATAGAGAGGGCGACAGAGCTAGACAGAGAGGGCGACAGAGCTAGACAGAGAGGGCGACAGAGCTAGACAGAGAGGGCGACAGAGCTAGACAGAGAGGGCGACAGAGCTAGACAGAGAGGGCGACAGAGCTAGACAGAGAGGGCGACAGAGCTAGACAGAGCGCTAGCTATGATTGATATGAACAAGTAGATATTTTATATATGATTTATACATGTGGCAGAATTACGTGACATGCTTGTTATGTTTTAAGGTTACACACAGTTAGTTCTCCCAAATACACCATGTTCCCTACACTCCCATCATTTCTAAAAGAGGATAGATTGTAAGTGACAAGTTCTGCCCAGCACTGTGTGGAATTCATATGGTGCAGGATGGACGTTCATTAATCATGGAGGACGCCGCTCCCACCTCCACTACCTCCTGTGCGGAGATGAAAGCTCTATCTGAGCCAAGACCAGCAGTGCAGGACTTAGCTCATTGGCTGACAGCCATCAGTTGAAACTCACAGCCAATGAGCCAGCCCTATATTTCAGGACTTAATAGGAAGTAGTGGACTCAGGGAGCGGACAACAGGCAAGAAGTCAAATCGTTCTAAAAGGCTCCTTTAAACTCTGAATGGAATATATCTTACTGACGACATCGAAGGTTATCTAGCCAAGCTGAGACTAGAGTAAGCCAGAGAGCGGTCATAAACTATTGTTCCTGTATCATTTTGTAATTGTCTCATTTATTGTTAAATTTCCCCCCCTTTCACAAGATTGTAAAGCACTGCAAATGTTGGCGCTCTATAAATATCAATCATAATAATAAACCAACTATTTTAGCGTTAAACGTGACTTCGAATTTAAATTCTTTACAATTCAGTAATAAGTAAATCACCCTGCCTGTGTTTTCAGCCAATCACAAATTGCACGATATTTCAAATCTTGGTCTGAGAGACGAAGTGTTAACGGCAATCACCGTTTTACAACGCACATTTCTAGGAGATTTACAATTACAAACAGGCCTTTCCCGTAGCCTTTACACATATAAAGTTTCCCTAATGTTCTCTTTTTAAGTGGACGTACTGCAATTGAATTGTCACCAAGCAAGTCACTGTTCATCAATTCCTCCTAAAACGTCACGATTTACACACAAGGGACAGCAAACATTTCTTGCGGTTTATTTTTACCGAGTGCTTTGCAGCTGCGTTTATCTGGTCGGAGTTGGTATCCTGCTTCACACCAACACTGGAAGCCTCCTTCGGAATTACTGCATCCCTGGCTACAGTAGCCTTCCTCCGCACACTCATTCACATCTAGGAAAACAGAATGAGAGTCTGACAATTCATCTCCAGTAAGCACGTCTTCCCAAAATAGAGTAAAACTCTTCATCCACTTCAGAAGAGGTCACGGTACTGAGTGTTTGGCACACACAGCTCATAATAGCATGGAATTCAAAGTTAAAGGGTTATTGTGATATTTCATGAACTACCTGGTAATAACTAACTGTGGGAATAGGCACTCATTACAGCTCCATGTGTGCTAAATTGGGGGCCATCTCGCGGTTCCATACTTCCAGTAAGCAGAATAAACAACTCTACAACATTGGGGTCAGTTTTCAGCAACTTCTTAACTTGGCATCAAAGGTAGAGCCGACAACTTCTGAACCAAAAAAAAGGGTCAAAACCAAAAAATGTCACCTTTTAATTGAGTAATTTAAAAAAAAAAAAAATACAAAAATGATCCTTGCGTTGCAGAGGTATTTATTCTACTTATTCGATAAGCATCCTTATCAGATTTTAATAATCTCCAAAGAGAAGCAAAATTGATAAATGTCTAAAATCCAGAACTGCTGGAAGGGAATTAGGGCTGGTATGCGAACTGATGCTCTAGAACACAACTCCAGATGTTTGAAAGATTGGCATCTTGGAGCCGCTCACCCTGGCAAGATCGCCCATCCTCCATTAACCTGTATCCCGTCTGACATGTGCATTGCACCAATCCACGCACAGTCTGACACTTCTGTGCACATCCCCCATTCTGGTGATTACAATTCTCTTCTCCTGTGCGAGGTCCTATATGGGACAGAAAAAAAAATAAAAAATGAAAAGAAAAGAAAATGAAATGAAAGGTCATGCACATACGGTTTCCTTTCCCAGATTAAAATAACGTTTTACACAGTTAGAGTTGTGAACTATTAATCACCTGCTCTTATCAACAAGAAAACAAACTTTAAAAGAAAAGGTTTTTAGATGTAGCCATAAAACTAAATATGTTGCCGAAACTCTGAATTCTAGCATATTGACATCGGACTTTAAAAATGTAGGTTAAAATATCCAAGCTGTGACTCTAGCTCTTAGAATGTTCCTAAATGTTAGTAGCGGCATTTGTACTTTAAAATAGTTATATTTTGTATAGGAAAAAAATAAATAAATCAAAGATTCTCAGAATATCTAGCTGTGGCTGCAAGATTGCAGAGTAACACCCTTAAAAAAAAAAAAAAAAAAAAAGGATATGTGAATTCTCAGAAATTCTAAGCAGAGTTTAAAATTTTGGCTAAAGAAGACAAAATAAAAACCATTGCTGACTGAGAATTTTTCCAATCCAGCAATTTTCTCTTTTTGGTTAAACGAAAAAAAAACTAAAATAAAAAAAATAAACAACCATCCACATCCTAAATTATTCCATAGAGTTTTAGAAGTAAATAGCTGGAGACAGGTTGATGAATACGCTGTACAGAGAAACAAAGAAGGACGGAGAGAAAGAAAGATTTCATTTATGGATCTCCAACTGTGTCCACATTCAGTTTTTCGGGCACACAGAGACGGTGACACTCACTGCAGTTTTGATGCGGGCTTTCATCACTGCTGTCCCCACAGTCATTAACTCCATTACAGAGCTTCCTTTGCCCAATACAACGTCCGTTGCTGCACTGAAACTGATCCGGAGCGCACTGGGGGGTACCTGCAGGGTGCGACATGTAGGGAAAGGTAATGGCTTTCACAGACACAATATATTAAACCACCGGAGACAAGGACTGGCAGTAACCAATGGGGTATATCGTGACGCACCCAGTCATTATACACAATCAGGCGTCAGTTCAATAGATTGTGAATTTCCCGACTTTTCATCTATTGTCTTATAGAGGATAGTGAAAATTATTGTTAAACTATTGAAATTTCGATTCAATGTCTCCCATCAGGTTTCCTCTCCTGCACTCAGACTATCAGACACTTGACACACTCTGACACCATCTCACCACTCACCGGTTTTTTCACAGCCCATCTCGTCACTGTTATCTGAACAGTCATCCTCCCCATCGCATCTCCACGACAGTCGTACACAGCGCCCCGATGCGCAGCGGAACTGGTCTGAGTTACAGGCAGAGGTTGCTAGGAACACAAAACACAAGATGACCTCACATTAGGCTAATATTTCCTTTATAGGAGTTAGAAGCAAGTAAAGGCAATTCAATTACCGGGCAGAAACTGTGAATACGTATGTCTGAGTGTAACTTGTTCTGCACACAGCCCTTAAAAAAGGATCCGAGATGGAACTGGTCATGTCAAAAGCATAAAAGGCTACAAGGTGTTTTGGCTACTACTCGAATTTTAAGTTTGTTATTAAAAGCTTTGCCTAGCCAGAAGCTCATCTGCACAGTCTAGAACCCCAGTCATTAAAGTTTTCCATAAAGTTAGGCCAACCTGCATCAAAGGTGGTGTTAATCAAAAACCGCTGGAGTGATAAGATTTAGACATCACTACCCTGGAATTACCGGAGCATAATATGTATTTACAGCAAATGTAGGTTTAATACATCTTATATGGTTTCTAAATTAATGATTATTCAACATAAACTATCTAAATACAAGCCCTTGCATTATAATAGGCGCGTTGGGAAGGATTGATGATAAGGGTTTGTTATATATAGCAATTCCAGTGCAACGTTCTAAAAATGGAGTGAATTAGAAATGCTTAGAATTTAACCCCAGAAAAGTCCTCTGTCGATGGCACTCACTGCAATTTCTCTCGTCTGATTGGTCATCGCAGTCGGAGTCTCCATCGCAGCGCCAGCCGGAATTAATACACAGGCCACTGTTGCACATGAATTCTCCTGAACGGCAGGGTTGGTGGGAGGCTAAATTAAAGCAAGTGGAGGAACCAGAAGAGGCAAAGGTGAGTGAGGCACAGGTAAATAAAAGTAAGAGAGAGTAATGCTACGATATAGTTTGGTTACGGATAGGGAAAAGAGCATACCAGAAAGAGTGTCACAAGCAGGAGAGATTGCAAAGCTCATTAAATCAGAGCCTCAGAACAGGGGTGATAATTGTACTTACAGCAATCGGACTCATCAGACCAGTCTCCGCAATCATCGTCACCATCGCAGTGGTAAATGTCTAGAATGCAGCGACCGTAAGCACACTGGAACTCCTCCACACTGCAGCTCGGGGCTGGGACATCAGAGGCTACGATGGGTAAGAAAGGCAGGTCATTTACTAAAGTGAGAATTATCGGAAATTCAAAGTAAATTTCACATTTAAGGTAAACGTAATCAACTTGAAAAACCAATCTACAAGTTGGTAAATGCCCTGACTACAAAGCCTGTCCAAAAGTTCACAGGTTCTAATCCCGGAAGTCAGCCCTTCATCCTTCTGAGGTCGATAAAAGGAGTACCATCAATTGGGCGGCGGCGGCGGCGACAACTATTACTATTCAGCTGCCAATTTAGTTAATTCCGAGAGCGTGTGCTGAAAAGCATTTTGAGTCCCACTGGGAGAAAGGCACTATATAAATACTAGTTATTATCAGTGGCGTACTAAAGGGGGGGTGGGGGGGCGGTCCACCCCGGGTGCCACCAGTTAGGGGGGGGGGCCTCCAGGGCTGGCCAGGCTTGTGACTCTGTGAGCTGTGTGGCTGCACAGGGCGCCAGGAGCCACACAGCTCACACACGCAGGGGCTGGGAATTCAGCAGTACAGAAGTACTGCACAGAGAATTGGGGGCAGAGCCAACTCGGCTGTAGAGGCGGAGCCAAACCAGATGCAGGGCGGAGCTACAGCCAGCCTCCATTTGCTGCCTATCACTGCAGCACACTGAGGGGAACCAGGAAGGAGTCCCTGCTTCCCCAACTCCAACACACCAGGGACTCACTGACTCCACTCCTCCACCAGTAAGTGAGAGAAAGTGAATGCATCTATGACCGTCTGCCTGTGACACTGCGTGTGACTGTCTGCCTGTGACACAGAGTGTGTGTGACTATGTGCTGCCTGTAACTATGTTACAGTCTGCCTGTAATTGTGTGTGTGTGACTGTCTGCCTGTAACTGTGTGTTACGGTATACCTGCAGCTGTGCGTTTGACAGTGTGCACGTGACTATGTGTTTGGTACGGTGTGCATGTGGCTGTATTTGACAGTATATGTGTGTAACTGTGTACATCTGACTGTATCTGACTGTCTTCGCCCTGCAGGGAGTCGGCACATATCATCCTCCAAGCATCGGCGTCATATTACAGGATGTGCAAGGGACGTGTGTATGAAGAGCACAGAGATACCAGCAGCAACCACTGACTACCAGGGACTGAGGATCCACTCCAGCCCTCCCAGAGCAAAGTAGGGAGGCTGGGTACAACACACACATACACACACACCTATTGTGTTATTGTGTGTGTATATAAATGTGTATGTGTTTGGTACATAGCTCCCATATTTGGTGTCCTTAAATATTGCAATCCCACATAAGGATAACAAATAAGGGCGTTATCTACTAAACAAAGATCGACGTTAAGAGGTATCAGCTAGCCCACGAACAAGAAAATCAGGGTGGCTAATGTGAATTATATGCAAATTTGTTGACTGATGCCAATGTGCACTGCATGCTGGCATCAGGCAGCCAATGGCAGCACATTACCCCATCCCCTAGTGAAAAGTTTTAGTGCCCAGTTTGGATTGTGGTATCTTATGTGCCCACCCCGTATATATTGTTCCTAGAGTCGCCACTGTGTCTCCATGTGTGTCTGTATCTGTGTGTGACTATGTGTCTATGTATCTGCACGTGTGTCAGGGTGTATTTAGGTGTGTGTATGTGTATATGTGCATACATCTCAGAATCTCGCCAACACTACACACAAATACACCCCTACATTTCAACATCAACACTACATACAAACTCCACCATTATATATAACCACACCACTGCCTTCAAAAACCACACTACATAAAAATGCATGCCTGCATTCAAACGCCAACACAACATACAGACACACATCCTACATTCACTCAAACATACTCCATACAAAAACATGCTTACATTTAAAAGCCTAAACACTGCTTAGTGCTAAATAAATTTTGTGGTTGTTTTTTACATTTTAACGTTGGAGGTGGAGGGGGAGTGCCAAAAATAGGACCCGCCCTGGGTGCCAAATGCTCTAGGTACACCTCTGGTTATTATTATGTTTCCTTATTTCAAATCCCTATAGCGGCCACAATGTGCTGCTCCCCAAAAACCTATGGCTACTGGTCATCTCTCTACACCTCTAATGCTGAAAGAGGAGAGCAGACGTCAGAGTGTTTACTGAAAGCCACTCTCTGTGCTCCAATCTCAGATAAGACTCTGTATTACGAGTTAGTAGGTTTACTCACGGCAGGACTCCTCATCAGAACCGTCCTTGCAGTCCGTATCTCCATCACAGAACCAGTGCTCCGCAATGCAACTCCCATCAGCGCAGCCAAACTCTTTCTCTGAACATTTCCTCATGTCTGGGGAGTTCCGAAATATATGAAACAAGAAGACATGAGCATTAATTATTCAAATCTTCACTATCAAAAGTTTTTATATTTGATCAAAGTGACAGCTGCTCACAAAAACGTTTTACTTTTTCTCATACTCTTCACAGCCCAACTTTTCCGTGCTTCCTTTCAACCCTTGACGTGTAGCTGCTCTCCTTATTCCGTCTCTGTGTTGACAATCTCAGCCAATCCAACGCTTACCCACAGGGTAGCATTGGGAGACTATCGCGCATGCACAGCAAAACGCCACATGCCAATCAAACTGATCTATAATGGAGTTCCAACTCTATTATAACCATGAAAATGCCTCTAGTCGCCATGTTCCTGTCATTTCCTACAGAATGGCAAGGTTTTACAGAATACAAAAAGATAAGTCCTGCGCTCACTCCCATCACTACTGGGCCGGCAGCAATGACTACAGTACACATCAGCCCCAATATATAGTAAAAACCAAAGAAAAGAAAAGTTACCTGCGCTCTCTCCTTAATACCTATGTATATTTAGACAAATGGAGGTCATTTAGTTGCTCCAATGGCCATTGGAGGCAAAGCCCGCCTGCCAACGTCAAGGCAGACCCCCCTAAAGCAGGTAACTTTCTTTTCTTTGGTTTTTACTATGTATTGGGGCTTATGTGTACTGTAGTCATTGCTGCCAGCCCAGTAGTGATGGGAGTGAGCGCAGGACTTATCTTTTTATATTTGTGTTTACTTTGTATCACACAGGTGTGTTAAAATGCTGCCGCCCATCCCATGTGTTCCATATTAAGGGTTAATCAATATATAGGGGTGTATATAAAAAGATACCCCTCTCTGTCTCATTAGAGATATCTCTGCCAGAAGCTCAAGGAAGCAGGCTGAAGGGTCAGTGTAGGACCCGTTTCAGGGGGGGTTTGCCTTGACGTTGGCAGGCGGGCATTCCCTCCAATGGCCATTGGAGCAACTAAATGACCTCCATTTGTCTAAATATACATAGGGATTAAGGAGAGAGCGCAGGTAACTTGTTCTTTTCTAAGGTTTTACATAAGACAGGAAGAGCTGCACACAGATGACATGGTCTGGGTGCATTCAGTGTCTCTAAAGTAGATACAAACTAGTTTAAAACCATCACAACCGAAATAAATTAAGAGTATAAATAGCATTGGAACAGCAGTGTTTTATGGACTGCATATCCCATAATGCGGAATCAACCTTTAGTTCACATACATCTTAATAATCACTGCTCCGATTGTTAATTCACAAAATGTGAATACAGAGCGTTGGAAATCAAACTGCAAAATACAGGCAAAGTTGAGGACTTGGAGGGTATTCTCCAATACAGCCATATTCGCAGTGTGACCATCTTACAAATGCATAAAACAAGTTACCACACTTATTATTAGTTTTATAAATACTATATGGTGCAATTTTAGCGCCTTTTTATTTATAGTGAGATATTTGGTTTGTGATTAAGCACTCTGTCTTGTCTGGATTATTTTACGCAGAGTTCTTCCCACTTTCAGTTTACCATAATTCATGTTTTAGTGAATAAATCCTTTAAGACAATGCTGTATTTGACACATTCATTTTCACGCATTACATAGGGAGTGCATAAATACCAAAAACCAATAAGTATAAAATTAATTAAAAACAATATATATATATATATAAACCTTTTATATATATTTTATCTCTGTAAAATTCCAGGCTGTGCAGGATTTTCACCAAACCAGGAAATGACTGAAGCTTATTATAATGTGTAGCTGTAGAGAATCTCGTTAACAGTGGTTTATGGGAGTTGTAGTTTGTCCATTACCGGTCATAAACCTGAAAGCGGAGCTCCAAATTCCCCAAAATTAAACTCCTGTGCAGTAGTACTTGTAAGTACTAAAAAGCTCTGGCTGCTTTAAAAAAAACCCAAAAAAAACAGAACACGATATAATACTGAATATGAGTGGGAAGAGTTTGTGGATGAGATAGATAGATAGATATATATATATATATATCCGTCATGGAATCAGGAAGAATTTTCCCCCTTTTTTGCAGCACACTTAGAAATCTCTTAACAGTTGGGGTATTTTGCTTTCTTTGAGATTAACAGCGTGAACAGATGTGTGGAATATTGAATTTGACAGACCGGAGTCTTCAACATCGATTACTTTGTAATAGTGTAACTTCTGGAAACTAGGTACGATGGGAAGACTGCGCATGAAGGGTCGTCTAAGAAGGCAAAATTAATGAATGCTAAAAACCTGAAGGTTGAGGGCAAAAAAAAAATTAAAAAATGGCATAACTAGCCTATACCCATCACACGAGTACAATGCCCCTTCAGGTGTTAGAGAAAAACACTGCAGAGAGGACACAGATCGAAAAGTTAGAATAATCGGCTTGGATTGGGTTTAGCGATTAAAACGATAGGGACGGTGCTAACAGCATGTTGGCATTATTACATGCAGGCTGTTATAATGAATGAAAGTAACTCACCACACTGCTCGTCACTGTTATCACCACAGTCATTGTCCCCGTCACAGTGCCACAGGCTGCGGATACAGTAACCATTTTGACATGAGAATTCGTCTTCCTCACATTCTCGTGGCGCTGTAAAAAGAGCACGTGTAACCAAAATCAAAAAGCAGCTTTCCCTGGGTCGAGGGGTGGTAGTAACCCGAATCAGCATTTATCCTGTGGCATAAAAGACCCACCCAGGATACCAAACTTACGGCAGTCCTGTTCGTCAGAGTCATCTTCGCAATCATTGTCACCATCGCACACCCACGAACGACGGATACATTTTCCGTTATCGCAGTGAAAATCCAGTGGGGAACAGGTAGGCAACACTAAAAAAAATAAATAAATGAAAAACAAAGATATATTGTATAGTCCACATCAATACAGATCAGGTCATTCAGTAAAACACATATACTGACACATGCACACTTTGTACACCTGAAACCTTTGCACAGATATGCCCATTATAAAATCACATGTATTTGTAACAGTCAGTAACGTGTTCTCACTACACAACCAGGCAAAGCCTACAGGCGCCATGAAACACATCCCCCTTGTATTTATATGAATGAACTACACAGTTTGACGCATGTGTGGGGTAACTTACTGCAACCATCTTCGTCGCTGTGATCTCCACAGTCATTGTCTCCGTCACACTGCCACTGCGCTGGGATACACGTACACTCTCCGAAGGCACTGACGGCACAGGTAAAGTGATTGCGTCCACAGGAACACTCAGAACTGCATAGTAACCCTGGAAACAATTAAAAATAAGATTAGTTGTGTACAATCTGCAGATTAAAACAAAGTGTGTGTATGTAGGGGGGGTAATAAATCTTTCACTTTAAGAAAATTAGGACAGAGCATGGAGTAATCAAGTACTGTTCCTTAAAATACTATTTTTTTTCCATGGTGATTGCATGATTTAGTATTTTTGAATTCTCCCTATATTACACAGAAACGTATAGATGTCTTTCCCAGCTTACAAAAAAAAAAAGTAATTTATAACAAAAAACAATGTATCTTATTTACACAGGCTGATTTCTAAATACATTTATTGCAGTTTAAAGATATATTACTAGATTATTATTGCTGTGGAGCTCCAACAATAAAAAAAAAAAAAAAAAGACACATTAGGACAGAAGGATATGGCCCAAAAATAGGGACTGCCTTTCAAATAAGGGACACTTGGAAGATATTGTTAAACACACCAATTAAAGCAATACAAACCATAAATTGGACCATCTTGATTCCCTATACTCCAATTGAGATCTGTTATTGAAATTTTGGGGAAAGATCCCAGGAAGCAATTATTATTGTAACCAATGGAATGGGACTATGAATTGCTCCGTATTACCCCTGGATTGCTCTGTATGAAATAGAGGTGTACAAACCCCAATATTACAAAGGTGTTGCTTATACAACATCTAGACACATTCATGAATACTTCCCCCCCACCCACTCCCCCAACCATAGATCTGTAAAGTGTTGCATCAAACACCAAAGATACAAACGGTCACTATAGCAGCATGGACAGACAAAAGATAAGACAACCATATTACTGATTTTATTACGGTGGTAAATTTAATAAAAAGACATTCATCAGAGACAGAAATCGGTCAAGGGCAGACAGCAGTCCGCGATCACGCTGTACCAGATGTACGCTTAGCTCATCGCTACGTCAGGTCATTTAGTTTACATTTATACAGATCATGCATTTCCTGCGCCATCAATCATTAATAGGTGACAGCTTCTAAACTAAAGACCGCTTTGTTTTTCACTAAACTGTGAATTGCAGTGAACTGCAAACTAATGAAAAATTAGACAAAAAAAATAAATAAAAGATCCAAGCCGAGTGTAGCGTAATTGGAAAGTGTTTCTGAATCCACTCGTTAGCCTACAATTTAGCAAATAAAACCTCCCAGAGTTTTTACACGGAGTTCCTCGCAGTTTAGCTACAGCTCCACATAAGTCAATAACTATAAGGGGTTAAACAAATAAAACCCCATTATTGGTAAGCATACGTTTTGCCTCGTTTCCTCATCCCAATTCTTGGGCAAACTGCTTTGCATTTATATATTTTCTAATCAGACTAATATGATAGCTACAGAGGGACCGGTCAATAAGAAATAAGAAAGCAAGTGGCTATTAAACTCTTTTGAGAGGGTGTTAAAACTGCAGAACAATTATAAAAATTGTTACGTAACCTTGCTTTAGACATTAACACCATTGTCATTGTTAAAGGTAACGTAACACTGGGATTACATGTGCATGACCAACTGCTAACCCTTATATGCCAGTCCAGCTATCAAAACAATAAACCGGAAAAGTTCAATTAAAACCAGAGCTGCCATGATCTAAGAGGGCAACACAGACAGTACATTTCATTGTATTCAGACATACCCTGCCCTGTGGTTAAAGGCAGATCCCCGTGATAACATCTGTGAGCAATGTAACTCACTGCAGAGCACGGTGATACAAACAATTAGCCAGAAACGAGACCCCAAAAAAGCTGTGCGAGATTAAAAACAGAAAGATAAAGCTCAGCAGACATTGCTTCTGTTTGTTAGCCAAGCAGGTAGAACGTCAGAGCTATTGTCTGTATTGGACTAAAATTTCCCTGGATGCTTAGCCAACCTTAAACTGACATCTTGGGAATTGTAGTTTACACACAAGATGGTTAGTGATCAGTGCAACATCAGTAATAAACACTTAAAAACTGAACTTCAAACTACCATACCCGGTTGTTCACCATAGTGTGAATTGTCAGGAATTCCAAATTAATTCAACATTTAGCCTCCATTTAGGCCTCCACTGCTATTTTGGCCTATAATTTGAAATTCACACTTTAGTAAATAACGCAAATAATTTAGGGAAAGTACTGCACCTAGACGCAGGATGATCATTTGTTTAAAGGGACAACTTTAGCGACCAGAACAACTTTTGCTTAATAAGCCAGATTTAGTGTATAGATCATGTCTCTGAAGTTTCACTGCTCAATTCACTGTCATTTAGGAGTTAAATCACTTTGGTTTCGGTTTATGCAGCCCTAGCCACACCTCCCTGGCTGTGACTGACACAGGCTGCATGAAAAAAAAAATGGTTTCACTTTCGATCAGATGTAACTTACTTTGAAGGTTTTTATCTCCTGCTCTGTAACAGAGCAGGAGACAAGACATTCTAAGCTAAACAATATTTCAAATAAAAAAAAGTGTAAACATAAGATGACTCTTTACAGGAAGTGTTTAGAAAGGATGTGTAAGTCACCTGCAGGGAGGTGTGACTAGGGCTGTATAAACAAAGTGTTTTAACGCCTAAATGACAGGGAATTGAGCAGTGAGACTGCAGGGGCATGTTCTATACACCAAGCTAAAGTTGTTTTGGTGACTATAGTGTCTCGTTAATGTTTGAAACACTAGCCGTATTTCAGTATCTTGCTGCACAAATATTCCTTTTGTTATCATATTACAAGCAAAGAACAACTATTGGAGGTAGTTACTATTTATAGAGCTCCTACATACTTCACGATCATGTACAATGAGTGCATCATAAACCCAATAAAAAAAAAAACATTTGAGAAGTAAGAGGAAGCAATTAGCCATTTGCATACACACAAAAAAGGAGCATTTAACAGTACAATAGAAAGGAGAGCAACTTTGGCAACATGGCCCAAGTGTTCACAGTCACTTGGAACAATATCTTTAATCAGAGAGGCACGTAGTACGATCAGCATACTTAACCAGAGACGCTGTACTTGGCAAATGCCCTTTACTAGACCGGGTACACATAAAAAGCTATCCTATTATCTTCAGCCAATCACAGACTAACAAATAGAGTGACTAACTCACTATTCACAGTTGAACAAGAGTTTGTAACCCTAAAAGTAATCAAACAGTTATAAAATGCTGCGTTACGGAAATGGTAGCAGAGTCATGGAAGAATCCTCCAGTGAAGGAATTCACGAATGTATTGCATGTTGCTTATCACAATGGGCCGACATGTTATTTCTTATCTATATCTATAAGTTTACATGACTTTTGCAGAAGTGTGTACGAATAAATCAAAACACAGTAGGAGTATACCAGCACTGGGTATTTGTTCTGTGGACCAATATCTGCCGTTGTTACGTAAAATTACGGATTGCTTTATTGGATGTGTGTATGTTTTCCCCTGGCTAGTTGCACACACTAAATCTGTCAACAGTCCTGGATCTTGTAGGACAGTCCGTATTCAGGATTCCAGTCTCACTTTGAGAGAATGAGAATGAGTCCATTTTTGGCATTGTCGGTTACTTGTTTGGTAAAGCCGTTTGCCAGGCTGACACGCTTTAGGCACACCTTCTGCCAGGTTATACCAGTGAAGCATTAAATCACGATTTACAATGTTATTACTTTAGATACTTTTAACCACCGGGGAGAGTTACTAACTGCAGAAATTTGGAAAGTATGCGCTCAAAGATCCATTCAAAGCTAATCATTCTTGCGCATCCATACGGTTCAACCTGGAGCTCCAGAGTAGGCATTTCTTGCAATGGGCAGAAACCCATTCAACTTACAACCACTACACTAACTCCATAAAGGTACCAGAATCCCTAGAAGTATTGCATTTTTCTATCTTCTTTAGAGGACAGAACAAACCCCCTCCCCCACAGCGATTAAGGGTGACTGAGCATCATAGCTCATAAATTCTGGGGTTTCAAGGTTAGTCTTCGCTGCCCTACACACGCAATAATGCTCCAACTGACCTATTTCCCTTACCCATGTACTCCCAATTCCTTCACCCCCTTATTACGGAGAGCACCCCCTCCCCCCCACGCACACAATTGTGCATTGTTTGGGAGGACAATGACCCCTTTATAGTCTGTTTTCCTGAAGCCTACCCAGCAGTGACAGGGAAGGGAAGAGAAACAGTCGTGAAGATCACACGGGGTTAATTATTGGCACTGCAAGATAAAGCAGTATCTTAATGGTGGTGGGATCTAAAAGAAGCAAGCTTTCATGGTGCGTTACATTTTATAATGTCTGCAGAATAGATTTATTTTTTCTCATAGGCAATATAAATTGGATTAATGTATGCAGAGTACTCTGACAAAACAATACAAAACAAAGTCAAACTATTTAGCTTGAGAGGAAAAAACAAACAAAAAAAAAAAACAAAACAGGTGCTGACATTTAATGAATGGGCTGCTTCAAGCCAGCATTGAAAACATGAGATCTGAGGAAGACTCTACTGGGAGATCAAAGTGTTGTTTGTAAACATCTGATTTGTGTTATTTTTCAATCACTCCTCTTCAGTTTTAGAATTCTAATTATAGAATACGGTTTCTACATCCCACCTCATTTAATTGTACCAAGGGTGAATTAAGATTAAAACACAAGGGACACTGCTCAGACCGTGCATCGTCTGCGTAATCATACCTTCCAACAATTCAAACGGCCAAAAGAGGGACACTTCTATTTGAAGGAAAGTGGCTGTGTGGAAGAACTATTTCAGGAATTTTTGGGTGGCTTTATGATCAACCAATTTTTTATGTAACTGAAAAGGAACAAGGGCAAGTTATTGAAAAGCACATTACTGGGAGATTTATTGCCGTGCAGCTCTGAGCTACACTCATTCTGAGCCTACAGAGAAGATGGACACAGCACGGGATTAGAAAGAGGGATGTGGATCAGAGACAAGGACATCTGTTAAGATACACATGCTGATTGAGCTGATTCATTCATTTATACACAAAGATACAGTTCCCAAACTTCAAAGGAAAGCTGTGACTCCTTAGGATTCTGCTGATGATTTCCAGGGCAATTTACTGTAGTGTGAATTAACGGAATTTAAAGGACCACTATAGGCACCCAGACCACTTCAGCTTAATGAGGTGGTCTGGGTGCCTGGTCCAGCTAGGTTTAACCCTTTTTTCTTTAAACATAGCAGTTTCAGAGAAACTGCTATGTTTATAAATGGGTTAATCCAGCCTATAGTGGCTGTCTCAGTGAGAAGACGCCAGCGTCCATAGGAAAGCATTGTGAATGCTTTCCTATGGACCGGCTGAATGCGCGCCGCGCATGCGCATTCAGCCGAAGAGGAGGAGAGGAGGCTGAGAGCTCCCCGCCCGGCGCTGGAGAAAGAGGTAAGTTTAACCCCTTCCTCCCCCCAGAACCCAGCGGGAGGGGGACCCTGAGGGTGGGGGCACCCTCAGGGCACTATAGTGGTCCTTTAAAGTTAAGATAACATTTTAAGTCAAATATGTGAAAATTTTCAAATTATCCAAGTAAGGTATATTTTCAGTTACGCATACACAAGTTGGACAGTAGTTATATCTGGCGGCCAGAATATTCCCTCTGCCTGATTGACAGTTTTGAGGGGCTGGGTTAGAGGAGAGTGGTGCAAGATATACATTACATTACAATATTACAAAGCTGTTATAGTACAAACATTGTTTTCTCTTTGTACAATTTCAAATATAGTAACAGACACTAGACTGATTACTGAAAATGTACACATGCCAGCAATGCAGTGTATTATACACTTTACATTTTACTTTTATTATGGAGAGGTCAACATATTCCACAGCGTTGCATAAGTGTTAAAAAAAAATTAGATTCAAAAAACCAAAACATAAAATATTATGAAAGAAACAAGTCAGTGTGTTACAAATTAACAAGTTACTGTAATCATTGTCTCAATGGGACATTGCAAACATCACAACGCTTACTTTAGTACCAGGAGTGCATGTTTTGTTTTGGCCAAACTGCTTTCAATCATTTTGAAGAAAGAGTGGAGGTTTTTGATGCATGCATAGCCCACCCCCTCAGCTTGTGACATCATATTAAGAAAATGATTTCTGTCACCAGTACAAATGTTTGTACAGAGCAAGTATGCAGTACTGGGGTTAAAGGACCACTATAGTTCCCTGAGGGTGCCCCCACCCTCAGGGTCTCCCTCCCGCCGGTCTATAGGGGGTGGAAGGGGGTTAAACTTACTTCTTTCTCCAGCGCCGGACGGGGGACTCTCCGCCTCCTCGGCTGAATGTGCATGCGCGGCAAGAGCCGCGTGCACATTCAGCCAGTCTCATAGGAAAGCATTCACAATGCTTTCCTAAGGACACTGGCGTCTTCTCACTGTGAAAATCACAGTGAGAAGCACGCAAGCGCCTCTAGCGGCTGTCAACGAGACAGCCACTAGAGGCTGGATTAACCCCAATATAAACATAGCAGTTTCTCTGAAACTGCTAGGTTTATAGAAAAAAGGGTTAAACCTAGCTGGACCAGGCACCCAGACCACTTCATTAAGCTGAAGTGGTCTGGGTGCCTATAGTGGTCCTTTAAGGGGGATTTGGTCAAACGAAAACACTGCAACATTTCATCACTGCAGAATTTACGCAGGAGCGTGCTCATGCCAAACACTTTGATGAATATTAACCCCTTAAAGGACACACGACGGAAATATTCCGTCATGATTCCCTTTAATTCCAGAAGTTGTGTCCTTAAGGGGTTAAAAGTAAAAAAATCTTTAAAAAATAAAAACGTTTTGGAGGTTTTTGGTTTGAGAAAAACTTTGGGACCACACAAAAAAGGATGTGCCTAATCCTGGCCCAGGAAGGGTTTTAAAAATAAAAAAAATAAAATAAAAAAAGTATCCAAGCTATTTTTGTGGCTTTAATGTGGCTTTTAACGTTAGCAAGCATGCTATCAATTAATAATCTGAAATAACTGAAATTGTGTCAGTTTAATGCCTAACAAGGCATTAAACAGAGCAAAAAAAAGTATTTGATCCACTACATCCCTGGTAAATCAGATTATAAAAAGGATTAGAAAAGGACTTTCTCATTGATGTTACTTTGCACATCTCCCATTCAAAGCAAAAAGCTGAATTTTTAAAAAGGACATATGATTAATTATAAAAATATTGCTAATTGCATACATTTGACAAACTGAATATAAAAATTGAATCAACATCATAAACCGGTCTAATGCAAGAACTCTCCGCTGACAAACTTGAAAATCTTGCAGTACAAACATCAATGCCCTTTCTAAACTAAGAGGGTAATATATAAATAATTGCAGGATCCAAAACACATGGTCAATTCTAGCATAAAGAAAAAGTATTTTACATTTTTATACATTACATATTTGAATTTATTTAAAAAAAAAAATCAGTTTAAATCAATTATCTTCGCAGTGGGTCAGGGTAGTAAAATTTAGAAAGATCAAAAGACACTGTGTAGGACGGGGGCATAAAAGGTCGATCTGACACCCCCACAGATTATCTCCTGCCACTCAACCTAGGAGGACAAAACTTGACCAGTCTCGTAATGACACGTGGGTGCGGGAAGGGTTAATGCCAGCAACTGTTTGAGCTGGTCCTTATTTGGGAGATTTTAACCCCACATTGCGTTGGTATGGGTTTTCAGTAAAATCTAGAATTCTATTTTTATAGCTGACCTCACCACCATTGGTTTGCTGATGTTTGAAGAAGGAAAATCCTGTAATTTCACCATCAGATATTTTAATCTGCTTCCTTCTCCAAATCACGAGAGGTTACTAGAACACTTCAAACAGAATCCCTGACCGCGTTAAGTCACTAAAAGCGAAACTATTGGGAATTCAAAGTGAATTTAAAAATGTAGGCCACGGTATATGAACTAGAAAACATCTTCAAGACAGCTCCGTTTCAGTCTAACACTTGAAATTCTCTTTTAAATAATAATTCTAGATTAGGCATCTCCCACGCATGACTATAACCCTGACTGCTGCCACAGCACCCCAGGTCAAATCCATCAATTAAGGAAATGCGATGAAACAGGCGGTCAGGTTTGATGGTGGAACATACCAGTACAACGGCCTGAAGACTATTCGAACAGTGAGCCCCCACCAACACTAACCCCCTCCAAATAAAAAGTAACTGCACAGAGCAGTAGTGTATTTAAGTGCTTTCTAAACAAAAATAATAAAATAAGGTTTTCTATGGAATGTGATGAATAAGGGGAATTTTAAAAAAGGGAAGTAAGAATCGACTGTCTTGCATTCAGAATACCAATTACGGTAACTACTGCCGTCTGAATCAATTCTAGTTTTGCGTTTTTGAAAATCTGTGATATCAGAGATTAGTACCACTAACTATAATAATGTTTAACGTTATATAGGTTTGAAGCCAGAGAGAGTTAGAGAGAAAAAAATAAATAAATCTCAGGCAAATACTTCTCTACCCTTCTATTCAATAAGCTGCACTACGTTTGATGCTTGAAGTCTCCATTTAAAGCTGCATCCACCACCTCCCCTACAAATCACGGTGTCAGGATTTTGCCCAAAGACATAACTGGTGCTACCCTGTGGCATACTAGGGTGATGCCCGCATTAATCTATGGCTCCTCATCTAGTCTAGGAAACCATGACTCCAATATAAAGTTAGCCGTCCATTTTTATAATAAAATAAACAGTCATAATACATGATTCATGTGCTCCATATTTGGCATTGAAATAAATTAGCGAATGTCAGAACCATCGCTAACCTTATAGTCCCCCAATAATCTACCATCTCCAATAAATGGTTTTTGTTTTTTTTAAATCTAGTTATAAATTATATTATATACATGTCTGCTTATATCAACCTGCTGTTTCTTCTCCAAGAGATGCAGGACGACTTACTGCCAGAGGAGAGTGACAAATAAATACACTAAAAGGCTTTGTTGATAAATGTGAATATGCAGAACTGTAGGACACAATGCTAAGCAGCACATTTGCAGTCACTGATTGTAGTAACAGCATTAAAGCATTCTTATTTATCCAAGTTTAAAGAAAAAAAAAATAAAGAACACAATGAAATATTAAATTGCAGGGGCCGCATTGACACAGGGGAAAATAAAGTCTTTGCCTCCTCCGGTGTTAAAAAGGATGATTAGGAAACACTTGGAAATATTTGCCCAAAACCAGTGCCAGTCCCCGGACTCAAGTTATTGTAGCAAAAAGCTGGGGTCCTGGAAAACCAGCAGGGGGCCGCAGCAAGAGGCAGGGTTGTAAGGGAATCCATTGTGTGAATTCTCTGCAGGTGCTGGACAGCTATTGTGAGAAAGAGAGAGAGGAATACTATATGGACAACACAACATAACCCCACATACACAAACACGCAACAGGGGCATCATTTCCACACAACACACACAAAGTGAAAAGTGTTTCGGTTTTCTTCTGTGTGGGGGGGGAAAGGTTTCCCCTCTCCCTCCCTCTGCAGTGATGGGTTAGGGAATAAGCAGGGATTGTGCAAGTCTTCTTTATAAAGGCAAGTAGTCCCCTACTGTTCCAGGCCCAGCAGAGCCAGACTCCTGGGGTTCGCTTTCTGAAGCCGCTTATTATTTGGCTCCAGGGGTGAGCGAGGACTGAAAGATTCCCACAATCCCCTGCAGGGGAAGATTCGCCCCAATGCGCAGCAGGGGTGTGGGGGGGGACACACAGAGAAAAGCAGTGGGGGAGAGATTATATAGCAGGGAAAGGAGGGGGAGCGCGTGTTTGTGCATTACTAATAAATAACGCGAGTTACCAATAAGACAATGGAGAAGGGGATTTTTTTGTGTTGTAGTTTTGGGGAAATTAGCAGGGTGGTGCCAGAGAGGTCAAGTGGTTACCCGAAGACTACAACAAGATTTACGGTTGTAGGTGAAAGACTATGTCCTTTAGTGACCTTCTGGAGCCATGAAAACGCTGGATAAAATGAGCTAGCAAAATGGTCCATCATCTACTCTATATTATACAGTGTCAACATAGAGTACATGGTGATACATGGTGCAAGGTTATGAAGGAGGGGGACATCTTGTACAGAATCAAAGAAGCTTAGGCAAGAAGAGTACATTACTGAAGTTAGACAGTAGGAAATAGAGGAAAAAATTGTGGGATTACATTGATACACAAAAAAAAAAATACAAAATAAATGTAATAAATATGCAGATACATGGATTAGCCTTCCGGCTGAGGTGGCAAACACCAGAAGAGAGGAAGCATTGAAAAAGCGTTGGACAGACACGCCGATATCCAGAGCAGGAAAAATAAAGGATAAAGCCTGGCCTTTGACATAGACTAGGCAGATGACATCAGTCAAATGGCTTTTACAAAAATTTAAATTTCAATGTTTCTATGTTTATGTCAGAACAGAAGTAAGATGTTCTCTATTAAAGAGCAGCGTGAGTTCCAGTAAAATTAATTAGCAAAAATGGTTTTAGTGGTGACTAGTTCTGCAGAATACACTTAATTGAAATAAAATAAATGTATTTTCCCACAGAACTTTTCGAATATTACAAAGTTAACATTTAACAAAATCCCCTCAAGCAAAGAAACAAACGACAAAGTTTATGAGGGTTTCGGAACCCCCCCCACCCCCCCTGACCCCCAATCCTTTGGAAAAGTGCCAGGCTATTTTGTTTCTGTGATACAATATGACCCCAGTGATTCCACATGTTCCATTTGTACCAAGAGGAAGAGACGGAGGAATGCCCTTTAACAGGCTGTTGGGTAAAAGAAAAAGGGGAGGGGGGTGAAAGAATTCCACAGTCATTATCCACTAGCTGGCTATTTTCCAAATCTTATTTTTATTTTACCAAATCACCACATCTTCCATATATTGAGGGGCCATGCCTGTGCAAAGGAACTCTCATCAAAAACGTAATCTGTACGGTATGAATAGACACTCTTAGCACTTTAATCATTGGAACTTGTTGCAGTAGTTATGGTGCGTGTTGGATTTTTGTCAAACTATTTTCACGTATTCTCCTTGACCTACAAAGCCATCTTCTCTCCTGCCATTTTAGTAATGTGGACGTTTGTGTGTCCTGTGCTTTGAGCGCGGAGCTATAACTGGACTCTGCTGCACCTATTAATCACAGTCCATCACTGACCTCCAGATTTAACTGGTTAACCAAGTACAATAGCTACACCAAATCTCAATGGCAGCAGAGAGACAGATTTTGGGAGCCATAGATGCCACCCTGTTTTTTTTGTTGTCAATCTAGACAAAAAAAGATTTGACAAAATGTTAGGGACTTCAGTAAGACTCCAAGTATCACAAAACATTACTAGAAGCTACAGTGGTTATGGTGTCCCTTTGAAAACACACACCAGAATGACAGTCCACAGCTCAAAGGGCAGTATGGTCACTTAAGTAGAATTCAAGGCTGATAGCCTTGAACTGAGCCCAAACATTCCTTTTTCTTACGTAACCTTACCTGTCAGATCTATGTAGCAAATAAATACCAACTATTTCAAGTAGATACATTTCTCTGCTCACTAGCTCATAAAATATGATTCAAAACTCCTCTATATTAACTGAGAAAATCTGGGCTAAAATGAATAAAAAGCAGCAATGCTTAACATGACACACTGATAACCACAAACTCCTCTCCAGAGTAGCGAACATTGGCAGAGCCTCTATGACAGCGTAATAGCACAGCAATAATAATTAGTGGATGAATGTACAATGGTTGGACTGGACCGGATTGAGGGGTAGCCGAGAACTGGGCAATGGTACAGAAATGCAGCATGACTGTCACCCGCCACCAAGAGAGTAATCAGGCTGCCCACATCACAGTGCTAACACAATCAATTCACCCCCGTACCACGCCCAAAGAGACACAGTGACACTCACATCTTCGTCACCCCCCTCCCTATCCCAGGGCAACACTGAAAACAGCAGGACAATGGATATTTGTTACCAGAACGCACACAATGACGTGATAAAATAAGAACACAACAGCCAATGGGGTTGCCAAAAATTAAATAAAATTAAAAAATACTAGGGCAATGTTCTAAGAGAGGACCAATCACCATGGAAACCGATGGAATGTTATGAATTTATGGTTCCATTTTCAGTAATGTTAGAACTTTTTTTCACAGTGATTAAACGGTTCCGGTAGGTGCCATCTTGAATCAGTACGGCTTCTGAAACCCAACAAATATGTGATATCTCGAAGTTATCGCATAGCTATGTAATGCCGCACAGGTCAGTACAAACACCAGCACCTGAAAATGTGATTGTACTTGGCAGGAAGAGAGGTTCGGAAGCAGAGCAAAACAGTAGCTCACACATTATCTTGTGATCAAGTAAAGGCATGACTTGGGAAGGACAAGCTTCAATTGTTAATTATTCTTGCAGCGGATCAGTGATTTTGATGGATAACCCACATTTTTACCCCTTTACCCCAATTATCCGTCTGTAGATTGCTTCCCTGCCACAACAGAGTCATGGCAATTCGTTCCAGAGCACAATCAATCTTAAAATGTAGATCAAATCATAAACCAACACATGGAATGGGAGATCGTAGCATAAATGATGATCTATTGTCGGTCATTCGTGTCATGTAAGAGAGTCATAAATACCAAGTTTTCAAGTTCTAGCGAGAAAGGCACCCTGCATTTGGTCTCAATCTCTGCGTGCCACAAATGGATGAAATTTTAGGAATTCAACGTTTCACATTTTAGGCCAAAACTGTCAACTTAGAAACATTCTCCGAGTCAAGTAGGTTTTCAGTTTGACTAATTTAATCTAAATTTCAAAATTTGCTTTGAATAAACTGGGGAGCCTTTATTTACAAAATCCCACTTACTCTATATTAAAACAATGATCTTTCTGAATAACTAAAAAAAACCTCAAATCATTGGAGTAATAAAGTGAGAATACTCTAAATATGTATTTCTGGTGACCCCAATGTTACCTGTTGCGTATAAATTACACACACTTGACATGGGTCTCCAGTCAGGAAGTTGTTATCAAATGCTGGCAGAGGAAAATTAATGTCATGGTGCTTCCTATAGCATTAATTGATTTCCATTTGCAGCATATGAATTCCATTTCCCCGCTGATGGCCAACAGAATGAAAGCCTTACATATTGCCAGGGGAAGTGAAAGAGGTCATAAATCCAAATATTGGTGATCCCGGGGGGCGGCAGAACCAAGAAAGGGATTCATCAAAGGGTCATCATTGTGAATTAGAACCCCAGAGGTTATTGTACTGATACATTGTGTTCTGTATGAACACCAGAGATCATCAATATCATGGTACTTTAGCTCGTCTAAAGTGTTACTGTTGTTGGCCAAAACATTGCAATCCATGATTGTTCTCAATAAATGTAGCTCTTCCAAATACCTAAAATGAAAGTCAAGTTGGTTCTCGAAATTGTCTGTTGAAGCTTCTAGGGGTAGGGAACTCCAGATGTTGTGGACTACATGCCCCATAATGCTGGCAAGGCATCATGGGTGGTGTAGTCCAAAATATCTGGAGTGCTGAAGGTTGTTTATGCCTGTACTAGAGGTAGGAAACCTTCGGCACTCCAGATGTTGTGGACTACATCTTCTGTAATGTTTTTAAAGCTATGGTTCTTGCAAAACATCAGGAGTTCCAAAGATTGCCAACCCCTGATCTAGATTAACTCCTCACCCCATAAATAGAGGACTATAGTTAGGGCTGTCAGAATCACTATGGACAGATGGACGGGCACACACAGTTCACATTGATGGGCAGCGCACTGAGAATGCCATTGAGGTTCTGGACTGGTTAATCATTTGATTTCTAAACTACAGGGCAGAACATTTCACATGCTGTCCGTCAGTCTGTATAAATGGCGTGTGTACAGGAGAACGGAGGATCTGCTAACCACTACCTACCAACGGATTATCAGTAGAGACTTTAAGTATTTAAATAAAGACAAATTAGTTTAAATGGACTAAGCCAGTGATTAGAAGGTTAATACCTCTGGATAGTAACAGGGAGAACATAACACAGACTTCTTAATCATCAATTACTGCATGATAGCATGGCACTAGTTCGCTCATGTAAGGGGAAAAAAAATCCTGTTACATCTTCCCATATGGACATCCTTCCTAATCGCAGACTCAATCAATTAACTTCAAATTTGTCTGGGTTTAAAGTGGGACCTATTTAAGACACAGACAAAATACATGAAGCATAAATAGCATTAGATAATAAAAAAGTGCTTTTGATAATTCTCCATGAACAAGTATCCAATTCAAGTTCTTATGGTGGGGAGAGAGAGAACAGATTAACACAAATTTTACAATTTGCAAAAAACAAATCTCAGACAATATACACATATCGAACATCCAATGGCCACTTGGCATTCAAGCATCTTATATTGCATATATTGTAACCTCTGTAGACGATTCAACTTAAAGACTAAACAAAGTGCATAAATGTATCTCTATGCCTGTACAAAAGGGATTGTAAAAAAAAATAAACAGAAGTTTCCTCCTTGTGCAGTAAGATCCCCAAGATTAGTAGATATAATTATGGTAATTATGGAGATACTCTGTTGCTATGCGATTAAGTGATTTTTAAAAAAAAAATTATAATCTGCAGGAGATGGCCTGCTTTCACATAGCATATTTCTACTGACTTATTGAAACCAGGGGTTTACTTATCAGATCCTTAGTAAAAGCTCACCCCGATTAAGGCCTTCATTTCATTGGTTTGGATCAGCATCGGAAATGATCATAATCTCTTAGAACTTTTCAAATGATTAATTTACAAAAATACCCAAAGACTAATTGTGAAGTCTGCAGATAAATCATTTGAAAAGTATTTCGAACAGATTGTGATAATTTGTGGTGCGGTTTCAAACAAATTAAATTGAGGTTTAAATGTCAAAACGACTTTTCAGGTAGTCTGCAGGTGAACTCCGCAAAAGATTAGCTGCACTTTGCATCTGAATTCCTCAGCTAGCACTGTGCCGAATCCTTTCTTCGCTGCATAGTTAGGCCCTTGCGATCTGCTGAAGACTTGCATTTATCTTCTGTCCATACTCCCACCTCTGATGCTCGCCTTCAAGATTTCTCGAGGGCTGCACCGTTCCTGTGGAACTCGCTTCCCTCCTCTGTTAGATGCTCACCCAGTCTCCACTCCTTCAAAAAATCATTAAAAACCCACTTCTTCATAAAAGCGTATCAATTAAACTGTTAATAGCTCCCAATTGATTCCTCTTCTGCAACTGTCACTAGTCTAATACTATCCTTACCTTTTTGTGTCATTTTACCCCACTCCCTCTAGCATGTAAGCTCATTGAGCATGGCTCTCAACCCGTCTGTTCCTGTGTGTCCAACTTGTCTGGTTACAACTACATGTCTGGTTGTCCACCCATTGTAAAGCACTGCGGAATTTGACGGCGCTCTATAAAATATCATAATAATATTAATAAACTCTACCAGGGTACGTCAACGCACCAGTTGCTTCCTATCAAGATGAGCTGCGGAATTAACGCTAAACTAAAATCAGTGGGTTCTAGACTATTTGAGACCGTAGTTATGAGGACACTATAGGCATCCAGAGCAATTCATCTCATTGAAGTGGTCTGGGTGCACGGTCTATGTCCCCTTAGCTCTGCAAAGTAAAACATTTTGCATCAGAGAAATAGCAAACTTTATATTACAGGGATAAGACTGCCTCTAGTGGCCAACTCTCAGACAGCCACTAGAGGCGCTAACTCCGTGAAATGACACTGGACATCTTCACTCTGTATGAGACGTTCAGTCTTCAAAATCCACATAGGAAAGAACAGACTTAATGCTTTCCTATGGGGAAGACCTAATGCCCATGTGGCACTCACAGTGTATGTGCAGTAGTTTCTCCCAACTTGTCGACATCGGAGGAAGCAGAGATGGAGCCAGAGCCAAAAGGCTCTGCTGCAAAGAGCTAAGAAAAAGGTTTAAATTTTTATTTTATTTTTATAAACAATTCCCCCCTCCCCCGCGGCGGGGGCAGACAATAGCCTTATGGCTGAGGGACAGTATAGTGTTAGGAGTTTTCGCTAACCATCTATGTAGACAATGCAATTAAATAGAAAAACTAAAAAACAATGCAGTTTATTATTGGAATAACTTCTGGAATAAAAGGGAATCATGACATGTCACACATGTTATGTGTCCTTAAGGGGTTAAAGGACCACAAGTGTCACCCAGACCATACCAGCTCAATGAAGTGGTCTGGGTGCCAGGTCCCCCAGGTTTTAACCCTTCAGCTGTAAACATAGTTTCAGAGCTCCCACTTGGGAGCAGACGTCGGAGGAGAGCTCACCAGCGCCGAGGGAGCCCAGTGCTGGATTAAGGCAAGTGGCTGAAGGGGTTTTAACGGGCGGTGGACCAGTTTGGACGAGTTTGTTTTCCTAGCACTATAGTGGTCCTTTAATGATTTTGGCCTAAAATATGCCATTTGCTCTGGGTCTTAAAGGAGACTGCTACCTTTCTTTAGTTGGTACGATGGCTAGAAGAATAGTTTTATCTACTTTTTATTGTGTTCCACAGTTTTGCCATCGAGAGCGTTTTTGTTTGTTGTTCATTGTATGTTTTCAATTTTCTCCGTCATTTGTAACTGTACACTTTCTCTTTTCCCATATACTGAAAATCTTAAGAAAAAAAAAAGTGCAATTCGGTCTTCCAATTCACTACAAGTCAATGTTCCGTGAATAAACACAAACGTGTTTTACCGAACGTACGCGTATGTTTGGTAAAACACGTTACGTTAATGAAATCTCATTATAAGAGATGCAGAGTTACATTTTATTTAAACACATATTAAGCTGCCTGCCCTACTCGTACACATTTTATGTACATTTCTCGGCAGAATCTGAGCAGGATCCATTAACCCTCGTAAGTTTGTTTCATAGTTACAGTCCAGCCTTTTGGCTCGCTGCCCATCTACAACTGAAAGGAATTACAGGCAAAAAAAGTTAATTGTTCCACCAGATGTATTGCGAGTCTTTCCTTATGGAAGATGTATGCAAGGGGGGAGAAGGGAGGGGAGTATGCTCATTGTCTCGAAAGAAACAAGTGCCTACAAGCATCTGCACCTTTCAGTCAAACCACGGAACCAAATTACTGGCTGTCCCCACCTACCATTCCATCCTGCTCTACTGAGAGACGCAGACAAACGAAGGAATGTGAGCCTAACCACAACACCTGAAAAAAGTATGCGAAAACGACTCCACGTCTAATTCTAGAATGCAAGTTCCCTTTAAAAACAGTCACTTTATAGCACAATATAGTGTCCATAAATCGAAAAGTAAAAATGATTCACATATCCCTGGAGTTAGATGTGTAGGCTCACTTTGAGAACAAAGGAACAATAAAGTAACACATAAGTTGGATCCCACTGAAGAGACAAGTTGGTGCAAAAAAATATTAAATTAAAATATCCTCTGGATTCAGCTTGGGAACAAAATAAACATTCACGTGTGTTGATTTTCATGGCAAAGCAAAACAAAGGTAACTTCACTTGTGAAAAGGTGAGTCACCCAACGCGTTTCAGGCCTATCACAGAATGTTTTAGGCAGCTCTGCTTTCACAGTTTCATACCAAAGCTCATCCAGTGGATAATTTGTTCTGAACATCTTTCTCCTTTGGGGGTGGAGGGATTCGTCCAAAGCCTTTGTTTGTTTTTCCAGGCCTAGAGCAAGACATCTGCTGGTTAACTTGCTAAACCTCTGAAGATCCACTGTACAATAGGTTTGAGTAGCAATAATGCAAAATCATTTTAAAAGTTTTTTTTTTTTTGTTTTTTTAGAGCTTTGTACTACATATAATGCATGCACTATTCACCTTTAAAATGTCCGAACGCCTCTTATTTTTCTCAATTAAAAAAAAAACCAAGAATGTAGGTGTCAGACAGATTATAATTGTAGATTTTACTAAAGACTAGTAAAAGGTTGATATTGGAAGGAATAATAATATACCATTACATTATGAGGAGACCAGACATTCTCCATAAGGAGTGACCATCTGGTTACTTTTTATGGTCACCAGCAAATAGCTGTACAAGACACATTTGAGTGGACAGTTTCATGCATGCACTCTGTGCTGGTGAGGGGTAATTTAGAAGTCCAAATATCTCTGGACGTGCAGCGTTTCAAACAAACGCTGCACATACAGATTCCTTTCTCTGTGACCATTTCCAAAAGCAGAAGTGGTCATGGTGATTGGAGTGACCCGATAAGTGCTTACTGTGGACCAACAGGTTTGTTTATTGTTAAATTCACTATGGATATTTGGTAATTAACTTTGTGGGCCAAAGTGGGAATATTTCTACAAGTCTGCCATGTTTTCCGTTCAGCTTTTACAGACAGACTTATTGATTTCAGCTACTGCTGTTTTCAGGTCTAGCTGTGTGATTACGTAATCTAGATAATGTTAATAGATCATAGAATAATGAAAATGTGGATTTCCTGTGATATTTGATGTAGCAGTACTTTTTTAGCGGATTGCTAGATTACATTCATTTGTCCAGCTACGAAGGAGAGGGAGATGCCGTAATCCGTGATAGCCTTATCTCCCAATCTTGGTATTTATCCAAATCCTTCCTCTTCCCTGCATTTCGAAGACTGCGGACTGGCTGCTGTCTAACTATCACATAAATTTCAAGCTCAGACGGCAATGAAAGTGTGAGGGACAGAACGAGAGGCCTGTCGACAAAGCTCTTCAATATAGGAATGCTAGCTTTATGGCATACAGCCAGGGAGAACCTCATACCCCTCACATGTCCTACCGAGACATCGTCACTTCCAAATATAACCTGGAGCCGGACAAGGACTCACAGCCTGAACCTGCCTGGAATCACACAGCTTACTCCATGCAGAGTGTGTGTGGTGACTGCTCGCCTTTTTCACACTGTGCAGCACTGACTTTCAGGGTCTCCACGATCTGCATGGAGAAGCTGAACATTCTTCATAGAGATACATTGCTTTAATATCTCTATGAGGACATGCGGATTGGCACAGTGCAGCATTTTGCTGCGTGTGCACGTTAGAGTCCCAGTACTTTCCTATGGGAAAGCGTCGGATTGTCTGAGATCATCAAATTTGATGATCTCAGCCAAGGAGGTGGTGCCAGCTGCAAGGAGACCCATGCAGCGCTGGAAAAAGGTGAGTAAAACACAGACAAGGGAGGCCAGGGGCCCAAACTGTGTTTCACATCTATAGTGTCAGGAATATAGGTTTGTTCCTGACGTTATAGTGTAGCTTTAAGATTAAAATGTGTACAAAATTATGGAAATATGACCTCTCCTGCCCAAAACATGTCTGTATTAACTTACAAAACATAGCACACATTTATAAGAAATACAATATTATCTATCCACTCTTCAGAGTTCACTGCAGAGTTCCTAAAAGAAAAAACAGTGTAGCAAAAACCTGTTTTTCACTAGAATGAACACGACTAACAACGGGATGTCCAGCGGTGCTTTGAAATGGTGGTCCTAGGATCTAAATGACATCGGAGTCACCACTGCCAGGTGGTACGTGCCTTCCATACCCCAGACGCATTGTTGTTAGATGTGTAGAGCACGGAGAGAGCGGAGCTAAACTCAGAATGTACAGAATTCTGCAGTTTACGGTGATGCTAATTGGAGGTGCTTTAAGTCAGAACTGGTAAAGCTCTGTGGATAGTTAACTACTGTGCATGTAACATAACAGCAGGTTAAAAAAAATAAATACAAATAAAAATATGCATTAACAGGGGAAAGGCACCTTTATTATGGATATCCCAACACCCTGCAAAGCAATTAAATTCTGGATTTTAGGATTTCTGAAAACAACAAAAATGCACATCAAACCATCTAGGTTACATTGCCAATAACAAAATTAATTAAACTACTCACTTATTTGGATACCCCCCTGCCAGGGTGTTTCAATAAAGTGAAAAGATAAAGCGAATCGCAAGTTTAAGGTCGAAATAGCCAAACTGAAGTCAGCTCAGCCTTCGATTTGACTACTACAACCTCAAATTTGAAATTCGATTTGAATTCACCTTCAATTCTCACTTTTGTGAATAACCCTGTAATATTTAAGCCTTTGTTTTTCACTCCAGTAATCAACTCACCACAACTCCCATTTTAGTAAATAAGCTCTCTAAGTTTGCCCAGCTTCCAAAATGGACCAATGTGGACAGGAGAGAGTTAACACACACTATGAATATTCTCTAAACTATAAGCATGCAACTCAATGTCGGATGTCTGGGGATGTCTGGGTCAGGATCCCACACGGTCAAATATTTCACTGATCTTCAAGAACGTTATCATACACTGCGGTTGAGTCTGTTGTTCAGCAACAATTATTGTGCTTGGCATTATTTCCAGTTTGGTTAACACTGGCAGGGGAAGACAGTCTGTCTACTCAAAATTAGAATGTCCGTCACCCCATCCCAAGCCCTTTAACTGCATTCCTGAATCCCATCCCCCACCATTTGGTCACTGCGCTCTTCAACTTCCCAGGGCGTGAAATCCTTTTTATTTGGATGTAGTCGCCACCTGTGCTGGGCCATTCCCAATCTTTGTCCTCGCAAAATCTAATTTTAACTTTCCCCAAGAGAGTGGCATGTCACCGGTGACATTTCTTCAGGGAGCTACGTGAATTTATTTCTCTGCATCCTTACAAGACTATTCTTAATGGACCCACTGGTGTTCCGGTAATTAAGGCCCATAAGTGTTTATTGTGGCAGGGAAGGATGGTTTGGGGCGGGTGACTGTCACAAAATTCCATTATTAAGTGCAAAAAATGTTTTAAATTCAACAACGCAAAAATAAAATGGGTTAAAAAAACCTCAGAAACAAAACAAAAACAATACTACCATCATAACTAGAACAAGTATTGGGGGGGTGGGGGGGTGACTCAACTAATTACAATTAAGGGGGAATTATCGGGTCAACGTGTTCTATTGCTTTTTATTTTAAAAATATGTTTCATCATTTCCCACCTACCCCACCCATTTGAAAATTATTATTGAATGTTTAATTTGTTAGGGAAGAGGGTACAAAAAAGAAAGAGGGGCAAAAAGGGGGTGTGATAGTCCCATCAATACAGCGCACACTTTTTACGACAATACAGAATATCTCACATTCCATATTGCATTACATATAAATATCCTGTCCCTTCAGGTTCCTTGTCACATTGTCTCAAGGAGTGTCATGTTATTGCATAGAACACACACACACGTAATAAACATGTGACACATATAAACAGTTTGAGCATTTAGAATTTCTGTGCACGAGGTGAAGCAACTCTGTCTTCTTAGGCAGTTGCCAGAACCGGTAAGATTTTGGAGGACAGTGTATAGGGGTAGTGGGCACACCACCTCTCTCATATACCTGGCCCATTGGATAGCTTTACATGGGAAAGAGTGCTTTAATATTTCTCTCATAGATACATTGTGTATTGCAGAGATTAAGGTGGACAATTAAAAGGGGCTCCGTGCTTTCGCTATCAATTGATACGCAGTTAAATATCTGCGTATTATTATTTTGAAGATACATAAAAGTACCACATCTTATACATCAATGGGCGCAGCTCACAACAGTTTCCCTTTTCTGTAAATACAACCATCTTTTCTGATAAAAATCCTATAAATGGATCTTATTTTTTAATACCTGGTCTCTGAACAATTGTTTACCAGTGTATCCCATAACTCAGTCTAATGAAACATAATTCAGTAATGTTTTTCTCAATCATTCCAGTTTGTTTAAATATACTTTTTTTGTTTGTTTTTTATGACTTGTCAAAGTATCTACCAATACATTATTCAATAAACTAAATATATGACCCAGTAACCAAACCTCCTCACAGCAAAACTAACCTTTTAGCCATTTAAAATGTTTTGAACTATACACTTATAGCAACGCATTTAAAATACTCAGAATATAGCAGCAATACAGGTTTTAAAAACTAGGGCCTACTGTTCATTGAGAGTCAATCAAGCCCACATGGGAAAGTGCAAATAACAGGCATTTTAATGGAACAACAACCACCGTAACGTATGCGCCCATTTCCAGTCTCTCTGCAAGTAGAAGCTTATAACAGCAGCAATAGGAAAGAATTTTAAATACATTTTTTTTTTAAACCACTATAGCTATAAGACTATAGTGCCTGACATCAAATGAGGATGCTATACCTTCTTTTTTTTTCTCTTGTCAAATCCCTACCTCCCCATACAGCTCAGTGTGAAGGAGACCAAGTTTCAGTAAAGCGCATTCATATTCACATATATGAGTATTATTCACATCAGTGTGAAACAGCCAGAGCTGCTATCAGCTAAGGTATCAGCTCCATTCATCATTTCAAAAACGCAATTGTTGCCAAGTGCTTAAAGGGACACTAATGTTAGGAATACAAACATTCCCTCATTCCCATATTCCCAATATACTGTTCTACTCACCATTTACAATTAGGGCCCTCCTAAATGAAATTAAATAAGGGGACAAAAGGGTTCTACTTGCCTTTTTTCAGCACCTTGGCTCACTCCGTGCAGCCACGTGCCCCACTTTTGGTGACGATGTCCTGCAAACAGCCTCCTCTTAGTCTTCTTATTCAAGTCAAATACTTCTTATAGAGAAGCATTGGGGACTAGGAACACGTCGCTCTTGCCCATTCAAAGGCTTCTCATAGGGATAATCAGGATTTGAAGACCTGCGACATCATGCAATGGGTGAGGACACTGAACATCACATAACTGTGTCTCTGTATTTGCATCAGAGGAACTCTCATGTCTGTCTGCGGTTTAGCCCTGAGATAAAAACATTGCTGTATCTACAAAAAACTGCAATGTTTTACATTCCAGGGCTGGACCGACAGGGCAACTGCAACCAGACCACTTCATTGATATGAAGTGACCTGGGTGCCTATGGTTGTTCTTTAAAGGGATACCTCATTTAGGTTGTCCTTTCATTCATTGGATACCTGTTTTTGAATGGTTTTAACACTAAATGAGAGTCCCCAGCAGCCATCAGCCCAGCCCCGCATTATCCTCACCAGCAACAAGCAGCAGTGATTGGCTGAGCGTGTCAGCTGACCGCGTTCAGTTCATTACAACCGCCTGTTGCTAATATGAATTTGTTAAGGCAGAGTATATTCAATGAACAAAAGGGATAGTGCCAGGGTACTCCAGGAACTATGACCAATTATCTTTTTAAATGTAAAAATTTATATTATTTCTTTTTAAAACATATTTAACCCCTTAAGGACACATGACGTGTGACATGTCATGATTCCCTTTTATTCCAGAAGTTTGGTACTTAAGGGGTTAAAGGGACACAATCACTAGAGCAACTACAGCTCAATGTATTTGTTCTGGTGAGTATAATCATTCCCTTCAGTCTTTTTGCAGTAAACAGTGTGTTTTCAGAGAAAAGGGATACATCCACTGGCCACTCCTCAGATGGCTGCTAGGGGTGCTTCCTGAGGCAGTGCTGCACAGTGTGACTGACATTCAGTGTCTCAACCCACTGCATGGAGACACTGAACTGTCCTCATAGAGATGCAGTGATTCAATGCTGATTGAATTGTGCTGGCTCTGCCCCTGACCTGCCTCCTTGACCGTCTCAGCCAGTCCTATAGGAAAGCATTGTGATTGGCTCAGAACACCACTTCTGATTATGTCAGCCAAGCAGACAGTAGCTGCAGACTTAAATACAAGTAAGATTTTACAGTATTAAAGGACCACTATAGTGCCAGGAAAACACTTGTTTTGCTGGCACTATAGAGCCCTGAGGTTGTCCACACCCTCAGTGTCCCCCTCCCGCCGGACTCTAGGGGGTGGAAGGGGTTAAATGTACCTCTTTCTCCAGCGCCGGGCGGGGGACTCTCCTCATCGGCTGAATGCGCATGCGCGGCACAAGCCACACACGCATTCAGCCAGTCCATAGGAAAGCATTCTCAATGCTTTCCTATGGACGCTGGCTTCTTCTCACTGTGAAAAGCACAGTGAGAAGCGCGGAAGCGCCTCTAGCGGCCGTCAATGAGACAGCCACTAGAGGCTGGATTAACCCATTTGTAAACATAGCAGTTTCTCTGAAACTGCTATGTTTGTAGAAGAAAGTGTTAATCCTAGCTGGACCTGGCACCCAGACCACTTCATTAAGCTGAAGTGGTCTGGGTGCCTATAGTGGTCCTTTAAGGTGAGCAAAAGGGCTAGATGGTGGTTTTAACACTATAGGGCCAAGAATACAGGTTTGTATTCCTGACCCTATAGTGTTCCTTTAATGCCCTTTCTGCCAGCTTCCGGTCTGCATTGCTCCCTCAATAACATGAGAATTCCCCATAAAGTCGAAACATACTGTAACGTATCAAGATGCCTCAAACCAAAAGCTGGTTTGGAAAGATTCTCAAAGTCATCTAACTGGATATTTTTGACAAAATATTGCAAAATTCGCTTTTCAATTTATTAAAAGAGACTTTCAAACAACTACTATGAGAAGTACAACTGAAACCTTGGGTTAGCCCATTACCATTCTCTGTAGTTTACATCCTAAAAAAAAGGCGCATTGATTGAGATTTTAACACGACTGTAGGTGATCTCCGTAAAAGGTTAACGGTCCCTGGCTTGGATTTCATCTATTTCTTTTGGTGTGTGACACAGAATCACTCAGTAAATAGGCATCCTTTGACGTTTCTCCCAAGGTTGTGATTAGAATTCTGCAAAGTATATGCCTTGGGTGTGTAAACTGACGTTTATATCTTGCATGCTTGATAAATCATAAAAAAAATGTGCAACTTCCCATCTGCCAGTATACATCTTAATGCTTTGTAGCTTACTCGAATATCAGCAGGCATCTAAAACAAACCTTAAACTATACATAACTCCAGAACTGGAGGGTGTGTTGGTAAACGGAGGATGTCTCCTAAGGCTTCAGAGGTAATTAAACTCAGAATTTAAATGAAGCACTCCTGATAACTATTTTTTTTTTTTTTTTTTTAAATAATAGATTTTGATTGAAGTTAGGACTTCCATCATGTTTTGTTCCCCAGATTCAATTTTCTGATTCCACAAATTACAGAACGGATTTGATTTACTTTGTATTTTGAAAGAAAATAAATGTGGTACATTAAAAAGGTTTCTTTTGAACATACAGTCACCTTAAAAGAACTGTATTCGCTACAGATGTCTCAAAACAACTCTGAAATCGCTTCACGTTGGGAGCACTTAATGCAAAGTATTTCAGCTAATTACATTTCTGGTTGACTAATGATGGTACCATAATTACATTGCAAACAAAAAACAGAGCACATCTAATTACAGTTAGCGATGTCTTTAGACTACCCTTCCTCTAAAACATTGCTTTAAGTCCTTGACTACTTAAGGGAATCCTGTGACATTAGAAGCCATAAGAATTTCAAAAGAACATTTGTACTGTTACTTAATAATCTAGTGATTTATTAGAGCCATTAATAGGGTGAATTATCCACATGAGAGATGCTTCAATATTTCCCTAATTAAGTATTCTCTAAAAAGGTATTGTCTTAAGTTGACATAATGAAATTAAAATACAAATACATAAACGGTGTGACTTTTTTAAAACATGGAAAGTCACAGTGAATATAACTCAATGTTTATCTTTATTTTTTTTGTTGAACCAAATCCCTAAAAGCAGGATGGAAGGCAGTGGAGTTTGGGGTCCAATACTTTGTATGCGACAGAAGTGCCTACATACGGTTAATGTGCGAAAGACCACTGAAGAACACTAGCCTTGGTACGGGCTCTTATGCAGAGATTTTTGGAAGACATTATTTCTGGTGTCCCCAGAACCAAGATGGTCCCAAATTCATACAGTCCTGCTGGAACTGAGTGAGTTAGGAGATATCAGCACATCAAATGTATTCACCACTTTGTTAAAAGGAAATACAGAGGTAATTTAAGGCAGCTTTGCTGCCCTCTGGGTGAACACACCATGGTAGGAGAGATTAAATGGTTCCGAGCATGGTGAGCTGTAGCTGCAGTGGCACAGATTTATACTCTCCTGCAGCCACACTAGTCCGTGTTGTCCCTTGTAATCCAGAAAAGAGAGAATCTGCAGAACCACATCCTAAAGCAACTCACCCCAGTTACCCAAAAGTGGTGCACAAGTAACCCTCATAATAAGACTAGGAGCCAGCAGTTGCTGGCTTCTTGGAAGTTATGCAAGTAGTAAAGTACACCACTATTGCAGGCGTAAAGTACAAAAGCATTTGTGATCAGTTATATAGTTCTATAGAAGCAGATGCTTAGAACATACCACACTTTGCTGGACAAGACCCTTAGATGTACTTGAATATTGTCAAAAGCTTACCATGTGAAATACTTGATTAATATTATAATGCTGGCTGAGGATGATGGGTGTTGTGGCCCAAAACCCTGGTCAAGAAGGATCAGTTACCATTACACTGGTCAGAGGTTTACACAGAGAAAGCAGCACTTCAGAGGTTAAACCGTGAAGGGGTGGAATGGGTAAAAAGGATTAAGATGACAAGGCTAATCATCCAGGCACAGTGCTGAAATTCTAAAAATAAAAAGTAATACTGAGCAAACATTCTTTGCAGTTCAGGGCATTACTAAATAACCATTGCCTAATTTTTTCTTACAATAAAAACAAAACAAAATAAAAAGTCTCTTATAAATTTTTACAGCAATGCTCTAAACTTCAGGCTCCATCATAAACTTTGATAAATGCATTTTAAAGCACAGATTAAGATGTTGACTTTGAGATGGACAGGCAAAGAATAGACCTTTTATACTTTGTATAATGTACACAATGAGTCCAGGAATAAATGTGCGCACTAGAACTCCGATAACACCAAGTAAGTCTGCTGAATAAAATTGTATTTTAGAGGTTTAGTTACAATCATTTTATGTTAATTGAAGCTTGAAGAAGGGTTCACTTAGGGAACACCATGTGCATTCTTAGGGTCCCTGGGAAAAAAATGTAAATAAAAAATTAAAACCACTGTTCGCATTGCATAAAGCGACCCATTACACATAAAGTTCTCCCAGTGTGAGTACAAATAAAACAATGTCCAATGACTGAACACCATCTGTGCTCAAGAAGAATTATTCTCAAAGGCTAAAGTGACAAAAAAAAAAAAAAAAAAAAAAGTTGTCTTAACCATTTAGGTGTCACAATTCTGTGGCATATTGCAGCCCCCTCGGGCAATAAAAGGATTACTTGGTATGGATTTGGCACTCCCTTAGCCCAACTTCATCCGTTCTTCCTAACCCTTAGGGCATCCAGAATTCAGGAATACCCAATTAGTGGACAAGTGAATGGGCTGCTTTCCATCTGAATTGAATATTGCTTGTTGAATTTCCCAAACATGGTCCTGCTGAAGTTTCCCTTGGGATCCAATAGAAATCCCCTGAATTTTTAGCTTAAACAGAGTCAATTAAAGGGGGTTTTTCACATCGCACCAACACTAAATATGCTTAAAAAATGCTGCATCTATTATGAATCAGTGTAATTAGACAGCAGAAACTGACAGCCATGTATATAACTAAACTCTGTGACAGACACCTCGATATACTCAACACTTCATTCAGATTTTTACCAATTGTATCATCTACGAATGTATCTTGTCTTGATTTTAAATTTAAAAAAAAAAAAAAAATCTCTGTGGCCCTGTTATCTAAAGCTTATGTTCCGACGTAAAATTATATGTTTTCCATCTTTCAAATTACAAAAAACAATTCCAGACAGACGTGGATTCTTCGTTCCCCTGGCAAACCAAAGGATGAAGGAACTCTTCCCTAAATAGCATTTGTGCTGTGTACATAACTCAAGTGAAAAAAAATAAATAAACTACAACTTTTGAATAAATATTAAAATAAATCATAATCTAGCCAGATAATCTACATTCTAGTATATCCATTACTCCTTACTCCATTAACGATGAATTTGTGGCGCTATATAAAACCGCTTCCCGTCTCCCTTAACCCCTTAAGGACCAAACTAATGGAATAAAAGGGAATCATGACATGTCACACATGTCATGTGTCCTTAAGAGGTTAAACACGTTTGATTTACCAGCAAGTTTCGCAGGAGGCTGGTACAAACTTGTGCACTACTGCCACATTCAATATGTTGATCATTCTGACTGTAAGAAGAGTCACAAGTGTGAAAATAAATATAGTAACGCATTTGAGAATTAAAAGTTGCAATAGTTCCTTTTTATAGAAAAATAAAACATTTAGTCAAATAATTTTGACACATAAGCCCAACTGAGATTAAGGGAAATCTTTATTCAAGATTCTAAGAATTTAGGGAAATTCTTTATCGGAATTAAGGTTGATAAGTACATTATTGTCAAACATTTCAGGGGAATCTCAATTTCTAATGGTGTAATAATCTGTGTTTTCAGATAGATTTTTGTAGCAAAATGTATTTATTGGTCAGCAGTAAATGCCCCTATCTGGTTATAGATGGGAAACCCTTCCTTCCCACTGTGTAATGATCTATCCTGACCTTGACGACAGATACATATTGCACTATTCTCCTCCTTCACGCCTTCCAATATTTCACGCAAGTACTTAGTTTAATGTTATGGGTCAGAAAGTCATGCAGAGTATAATACGGTTCAACTGTCCATAGGGAAATCTATATACAACTAACAAAGTTTCCTTGCAAAGGACCCCACATGTATCAACACCACATGTTCCTTCTGCTGTCATTTCTGACTTGGAATGAGTTTAACTTTTAACAAGTTCTTCCAAAGAATTTCATCATAAAATAAATTGTGGGGGGGGGCTGGATACGGTTTGTTTTTTCTCTCTCCAAGGAAAACACTTGCTCTTTTGAGTGAATTCATCCAACTGAACAGAAAGCTTTGTACGGTAACATCACAGGAGGGATATCTTTCCAACTTCCTGTCAGTTAATTATCCCTGTCTGAAAGTTTAATCTAGATAAAATGCATAATGAAGACAGCAATTCAGAGTTTGGTTTCTTTATTCGCTATATTAATGCCTTGTTTTGCACAAGACAGTCATGAAGTTCCAATCTTGCCTTTAAAGCATAGGTGGTGGGGGGGGGAGTTAATCTACCATCCTAAAACTGACAAGGTACCACATGTCAAATAACTGAGGTCACTGTTGCAATATCCACTTTTATCTAAACTACAAACCCAGCCATCAGCATGGCCGGTCATCCCTACAAATCTGAGCAAAGCGTAGCGTACAGATGTCTCATTGTACCCACATTGGAGTCTTAAATTGTCCTGCCACTAATTTAAGAACTGGGTGCAGCCTCTACAACAGTGGTGCCCAAAAGGTAGATCCACAGATGTAGAACTACCACTTCCATAATGCTTTGCATGCATTTAGATTGACAATGCATCATGAAAGCTATAAAACATCTGGGGATCTACCTTTTGGGCACCTCTGCTCTACAACATCAATAGCTGGCACACATAAGGTAGGCCAGTTCAGTCCAGAACACCTGCATACTACAGCCATTGAGTGGCGAGAGTCACCACCACTGGAAATATTAGTAAGCACAGTCATTTCATTCTGGGCACCACAACATGATGTTATGACGTGAGAAAGCTATACTTCAAATGTCTTATCTACAAAAAATAAAAACTAAGTGAAATAAGGATAACACAAGCCATTAATGGCTGACCATTCATCACTCTAGCGGAAAAAAATGTAAACGCCATCAATCTAAGGAAGGAATATTAATCCCCCATTAACCGAGCATTTGGATAAAATAAATTTCTGCTTCAGTAGGTAAAGAATCTTTGAAGACTGTTCCGAGACCTTTTGTGTTCGGAGTGTATTCAGGCTAACATTCGTCATTTCAATGAGTTGTGTGTCTAGAATTCACTAATGCCACAAAGTTAAGTTTTATATTAGGGATCACTGTATCCCTATTAGAACAGAAATCAGAGATTCTTTCATTTCTTAGCTAGCGCCTTGCAGATAGCAATGTTAGTTGTAATCCAAAAGCAAGAGGCTGTGCATTTCTCATCCTTGGCCTTAGATGACCCTTGATAGAAGGGGGTCTGACTCTAAGATCTCTCAGAACAGCATGATTCCTAGATAATATTGTAAAACGCTGCGGAATAAGTTGGCGCTATATGAATGACAAAATTAATAACAATAGCGGGTGCAAATCCGTTTTACACAAATGCAAAATGCTTGTTCATTGGTGCAGCTTTGATCTGGGTTTTTTAATTTCACATCCTCTCCTTGTTTCCTGCCCGCAGTCCCTGCTGTATATTTCCCCAGATCCTTTGAACACACTTTAAATCCTTGGTCCCCGCTTCCATTATCAAACACTCCAGAATAAATACAGATAACGGCTCCCTATTCAAGGAACTAAAGATTCCATTCAGAGGGATATATTATGTTGATGTTGCATTACACAAAAAAAAACACACAATGTCACAATATCAGCCTGTTGGGGACACAAAAAGGTTTATTCACTGAACAACAAGTTGTACTGGAAACTGAATTGCAAAACCCCCACTAAAATTTGAGATTTACTATAATTTGGGTTTTAGAGAACTTTTTACGTAAATTTTTCATTAATTTTTGTGCATTATGTGGGCTTGTAATACCAGCCCCTGCCATATTTCCTGGGAGGAAGATTTATGTATTTTGCTTTGGACTACCTCTTCATATGTTTTCAGTAATTCTCTACAATACAGAATGACACTGGAGATACCAGCACTACATTTTTATATTCCGCAAAGCTCCTTCTAATAACAAAGGTTACCCGCACCTGGTATGATCAGGTCTAAAATAGTTTGTAGCTCCCAGCAGATACATCACATACTGCAAATATAGAGCTGAACATTCCAGAGGGCTCTGAGAAGGAATTAGCAGATGCAATCAGACTATACCAAGGACTGCATTTTGGTAACACAGATGAGGGGTGTACAGCAAAAACTGCACAATCATGGAGTCAGTCCTAACGTCACAAACAATTCAAGCAGGTACAATCATAAAGCTGTTTATCGTTCGTAAATATGGAATTCAAGGGTCAACAATGCACGTTCCAAAAACAAACAAAAAAAATGAAAAAAATAACACGCAGAAAACAATGAGAGATCGGCTTAGTGAAGGAGGACAGAATGGATTTTTGATACTGGAGGAAGAAGCAGTCAGTGCAAAGCAGTAAGGAGGAGGCACTAGGTGCCGCAGTAAGGGGTAGCACAGGAGGCTCTAGGTGCCGCAGTAAGGGGAAGCACAGGAGGCACTAGGTGCCGCAGTAAGGGGAAGCACAGGAGGCACTAGGTGCCGCAGTAAGGGGAAGCACAGGAGGCACTAGGTGCCGCAGTAAGGGGAAGCACAGGAGGCACTAGGTGCCGCAGTAAGGGGAAGCACAGGAGGCACTAGGTGCCGCAGTAAGGGGAAGCACAGGAGGCACAAGGTGCCGCAGTAAGGGGAAGCACAGGAGGCACTAGGTGCCGCAGTAAGGGGTAGCACAGGAGGCACTAGGTGCCGCAGTAAGGGGTAGCACAGGAGGCACTAGGTGCCGCAGTAAGGGGTAGCACAGGAGGCACTAGGTGCCGCAGTAAGGGGTAGCACAGGAGGCACTAGGTGCCGCAGTAAGGGGTAGCACAGGAGGCAGTACATACTCTTTTAGCCATTGCTACAGTAAGTGCTAGACCAGGTGTAGGCATCCTTTGGCACTCCAGATATTGTGAGCTACATCCCTCTAATGCTGTAAGAGTATAACATCAATGGTTGCCTACCCCTGTGCTAGACCTTGAGACCCAGAATACAGTAAGGGCTAATCATACAGATGAATTAAACAGTCACTACGGCTAGTGCTAGAGGTGCTGAGTACTATACACAGTAGTGCTAGAGGTGCTGAGTACTATACACAGTAGTGCTAGAGGTGCTGAGTACTATACACAGTAGTGCTAGAGGTGCTCAGTACTATACACAAGTAGTGCTAGAGGTGCTCAGTACTATACACAGTAGTGCTAGAGGTGCTCAGTACTATACACAGTAGTGCTAGAGGTGCTCAGTACTATACACAGTAGTGCTAGAGGTGCTCAGTACTATACACAGTAAAGCTAGAGGTGCTCAGTACTATACACAGTAAAGCTAGAGGTGCTCAGTACTATACACAGTAAAGCTAGAGGTGCTGAGTACTATACACAGTAGAATAGTGCTAGAGGTGCTGAGTACTATACACAGTAGGGCTAGTGCTAGAGGTGCTGAGTACTATACACAGTATGGTTAGTCCTAGAGGTGCTGAGCGCAGTTTGGTTAGTCCTAGAGGTGCTGAGCGCAGTTTGGTTAGTCCTAGAGGTGCTGAGCGCAGTTTGGTTAGTCCTAGAGGTGCTGAGCGCAGTATGGTTAGTCCTAGAAGTGCTGAGCGCAGTATGGTTAGTCCTAGAAGTGCTGAGCGCAGTTTGGTTAGTCCTAGAAGTGCTGAGCGCAGTTTGGTTAGTCCTAGAGGTGCTGAGCGCAGTTTGGTTAGTCCTAGAGGTGCTGAGCGCAGTTTGGTTAGTCCTAGAGGTGCTGAGCGCAGTTTGGTTAGTCCTAGAAGTGCTGAGCGCAGTATGGTTAGTCCTAGAAGTGCTGAGCGCAGTTTGGTTAGTCCTAGAAGTGCTGAGCGCAGTTTGGTTAGTCCTAGAGGTGCTGAGCGCAGTTTGGTTAGTCCTAGAGGTGCTGAGCGCAGTTTGGTTAGTCCTAGAGGTGCTGAGCACAGTATGTTTAGTCCTAGAGGTGTTGAGCACAGTATGTTTAGTCCTAGAGGTGTTGAGCACAGTATGTTTAGTCCTAGAGGTGTTGAGCACAGTATGTTTAGTCCTAGAGGTGTTGAGCGCAGTATGTTTAGTCCTAGAGGTGCTGAGCACAGTATGTTTAGTCCTAGAGGTGCTGAGCGCAGTATGGTTAGTCCTAGAGGTGCTGAGCGCAGTATGGTTAGTCCTAGAGGTGCTGAGCGCAGTATGGTTAGTCCTAGAGGTGCTGAGCGCAGTATGGTTAGTCCTAGAGGTGCTGAGCACAGTATGTTTAGTCCTAGAGGTGCTGAGCACAGTATGTTTAGTCCTATAGGTGCTGAGCACAGTATGTTTAGTCCTAGAGGTGTTGAGCGCAGTATGTTTAGTCCTATAGGTGCTGAGCACAGTATGTTTAGTCCTAGAGGTGCTGAGCGCAGTATGGTTAGTCCTAGAGGTGCTGAGCACAGTATGGTTAATCCTAGAGGTGCTGAGCACAGTATGGTTAATCCTAGAGGTGCTGAGTACAGTATGGTTAGTCCTAGAGGTGCTGAGCGCAGTATGGTTAATCCTAGAGGTGCTGAGCACAGTATGGTTAGTCCTAGAGGTGCTGAGCACAGTATGTTTAGTCCTAGAGGTGTTGAGCACAGTATGTTTAGTCCTAGAGGTGTTGAGCACAGTATGTTTAGTCCTAGAGGTGTTGAGCACAGTATGTTTAGTCCTATAGGTGCTGAGCGCAGTATGGTTAGTCCTAGAGGTGCTGAGCGCAGTATGGTTAGTCCTATAGGTGCTGAGCACAGTATGTTTAGTCCTAGAGGTGTTGAGCACAGTATGTTTAGTCCTATAGGTGCTGAGCACAGTATGTTTAGTCCTAGAGGTGCTGAGCACAGTATGTTTAGTCCTAGAGGTGTTGAGCACAGTATGTTTAGTCCTATAGGTGCTGAGCACAGTATGTTTAGTCCTAGAGGTGCTGAGAAAAGCCATTCTCTCCTTACCTGGTGCACACAGGAGAAGTATCAGTGATCCCAGCAGCAGTCTCACTCCTCCTTGATCCCGGCCTCCCATGGCTCCAGGCTCCCTGCAGGAGCTCGCAGGATCCAGGCTGTCTCTTACTGAGATCCCACAGGTTATGATCATCACAGGGCGTCTCTTCCAGTGCACACTCCCGGTCACATTGCTGAGTGCTTTGATCTCCCTCCCTGACTGCTCCCTGCTGAGTGCACTCTACACAAACCTCGTGTCTCTCCAGCAAGTGCTCTCTGTACTGACTGCTCTAGCCTAGCGGTCTCTTGCTGGATTCTCTGCACATGCTCGGAGGTCTCTTGCAGTCTCTTATTTTATTTCCCCCCTCCCAGCTTCTCTGTCTCCACCTCTGTACCCTGCATGTCTCTCTGCTGTCTAATCTCACTCTGATTTACAGCCTGTTATTGTGCAGTCTCTTATTTACCGAAATCTCCCCACTGTGCGGTTATTGCATGTCCAAATGTCTCAGCATTCACTTGGCTGTCTCTTCTTCACACTCTGCTGTCTCCTGCAGTCACTGTGTTTTGCAGTCTCTGATGCTGTCTCCTGCAGTCACTGTGTTTTGCAGTCTCTGATGCTGTCTCCTGCAGTCACTGTGTTTTGCAGTCTCTGATGCTGTCTCCTGCAGTCACTGTGTTTTGCAGTCTCTGATGCTGTCTCCTGCAGTCACTGTGTTTTGCAGTCTCTGATGCTGTCTCCTGCAGTCACTGTGTTTTGCAGTCTCTGATGCTGTCTCCTGCAGTCACTGTGTTTTGCAGTCTCTGATGCTGTCTCCTGCAGTCACTGTGTTTTGCAGTCTCTGATGCTGTCTCTGATGCTGTCTCCTGCAGTCACTGTGTTTTGCAGTCTCTGATGCTGTCTCCTGCAGTCACTGATGCAGTCACTGTGTTTTGCAGTCTCTGTTATAATTGTCCCTGCAGTCTGTTTTCCCGTCTCTGTGATAATTTCTCCTGCAACCTTTATGTTTTGCTGTCTCCAATATAATTTCTCCTGCAGTCTCTGTTTTGCTGTCTGTTATATTTTTTTCCTGCAGTCTCTGTTTTGCTGTCTGTTATATTTTTTTCCTGCAGTCTCTGTTTTACTGTCTGTTATATTTTTCCTGCAGTCTCTATGTTTTGCTCTCTGTTATAATTGCAGGCACTGTCCTTTGCTGTCTCAATACTTTCTCCAGCACTCACTATATTTTGCTGTCTGTGAATCTCCTGCTGGCTGCACTGTCTCTCTGTGTGTCTCACTTCATTCTGTGTTTCTCTTCTCATACGCTTCCAAGTCTCTTTTTGGATTAAACCAAGTACACACCCACACGGGGGGGACTGCAACACACATTTCACATTGGCCTCTGTGCCACCCTCAGATATGATCCCAGTCTCTGCAAGATGAATTTTATTTGTTTTCTCCAGTCCAGCCAGAACGTCCATACAGGAGCGTTAATACCAGTCATGGGGTTCACCTGGATATTAAAGGACCCCCCCCCCTCCAGGCATACATGCACACCTGAGTTTGGAGTGCTGGAGCCGCCTGTTGGATCTTCTTACAAACTTGTAAAGCGTGAATGGATCACAATAACATGAAACATTGAGATACAATGTATCACTGCGCAGCTACTGCAATAGGAGCATCCACCACACAGGGCCCTCTGCACTGCATCCACCACAACCACCGCACTGCACTGCATCCACCACAACCACCACACTGCACTGCATCCACCACACCGGGCCCACTGCATCCACCACAACCACCACACAGGGCCCACTGCATCCACCACACAGGGCCCACTGCACTGCATCCACCACACAGGGTCCACTGCATCCACCACAACCACCGCACTGCACTGCATCCACCACAACCACCACACTGCACTGCATCCACCACACCGGGCCCACTGCATCCACCACAACCACCACACAGGGTCTACTGCATCCACCACACAGGGCCCACTGCACTGCATCCACCACACAGGGTCCACTGCATCCACCACATCCACCACACAGGGCCCACTGCATCCACCACAACCACCACACAGGGCCCACTGCATCCACCACAACCACCACACAGGCCCACTGCATCCACCACAACCACCACACAGGGCCCACTGCATCCACCACATCTTCACCACACACACAGGGGTCCACTGCACTGCATTCACCACACAACCACCACACAGGGCCCACTGCATCCACCACAACCACCACACCGGGCCCACTGCATCCACCACAACCACCACACAGGGTCTACTGCATCCACCACACAGGGCCCACTGCACTGCATCCACCACACAGGGCCCACTGCATCCACCACATCCACCACACAGGGCCCACTGCATCCACCACAACCACCACACAGGGTCCACTGCACCCACCACAACCACCACACAGGTCCCACTGCATCCACCACAACCACCACACAGGGCCCACTGCACTGCATCCACCACACACGGCCCACTGCATCCACCACAACCACCACACACGGCCCACTGCATCCACCACAACCACCACACAGGGCCCACTGCACTGCACCACCACACACGGCCCACTGCATCCACCACAACCACCACACAGGGCCCACTGCATCCACCACAACCACCACACAGGGTCCACTGCACCCACCACAACCACCACACAGGTCCCACTGCATCCACCACAACCACCACACAGGGCCCACTGCACTGCATCCACCACACACGGCCCACTGCATCCACCACAACCACCACACAGGGCCCACTGCATCCACCACAACCACCACATAGGGTCCACTGCACTGCATCCACCACAACCACCACACAGGGCCCACTGCATCCACCACAACCACCACACAGGGTCCACTGCACTGCATCCACCACACAGGGCCCACTGCATCCACCACAACCACCACACAGGGTCCACTGCATCCACCACACCGGGCCCACTGCATCCACCACAACCACTGCATCCACCACAACCACCACACAGGGTCCACTGCACTGCATCCACCACAACCACCACACAGGGCCCACTGGATCCACCACAACCACCACACAGGGTCCACTGCACTGCATCCACCACACCAGGCCCACTGCATCCACCACAACCACCACACAGGCCCACTGCATCCACCACAACTGCATCCACCACACAGGGTCCACTGCACTGCATCCACCACAACCACCACACCGGGCCCACTGCATCCACCACAACCGCCACACAGGGTCCACTGCACTGCATCCACCACAAACAGTACTGCATCCACTGCACTGCATCCACCACAACCACCACACAGGGTCCACTGCATCCACCACAACCTACACAGGGCCCACTGCACTGCATCCACCACAACCACCACACAGTGTCCACTGGATCCACCATAACCACTACTGCATCCACCACAACCACCATACAGGGTCCACTGCACTGCATCCACCACAACCACCACACATGGTTCACTGCATCCACCACAACCACTACTGCATCCACCAAAACCATCACACAGGGTCCACCGCACTGCATCCACCACAACCACCACACCAGGCCCACTATATCCACCACAACCACCACACAGGGTCCACTGCACTGCATCCACCACCACTACTGCATCCACCACAACCACCACACCGGGCCCACTGCACTGCATCCGCCACAACCACTACTGCATTCACCACAACCACCACACTGGGTCCACTGCACTAAATCCACCACAACCACCCTTGCATCCACCACAACCACCACACCGGGTCCACTGCATCCACCACAACTACTACTGCATCCACCACAACCACCACACTGGGTCCACTGCACTGCATCCACCACAACCACTACTGCATCCACCACACCAGGTGCACTGCACTGCATCCACCACAACCACCACACCGGGTCCACTGCACTGCATCCACCACACCGGGTCCACTGCACTGCATTCACCACAATCACCACTCCAGGTCCAACGCACTGCAACCACCACAACTACCACACCGGAGCCAATGCACTACAACCACCACACCAAGTCCAATGCACTGCATCCACCACAACAGGTCCACTGCACTGCATCCACCACAACGGGTCCACTGCATCCACCACAACCACCACACTGCATTCACCACAATCACCACTCCAGGTCCAATGCACTGCATCCACCACAACCACCACACCAAGTCCAATGCACTGCAGGATATAACATACAGGGGTTTATTAGCTAAACTGGAAATTGCAGCACAAAACCAGGATGCACCACTGAGTGGAAAGGGTTTTCAATCACAATTTTTCCCCACCATAACTTTCTTGGTTTGTGCTCCGCAAGTAATAGCAAGCCAGTAACCAACCTCATGCTGATGAGTTGAATTAACAACGAAATGACTGTCCATGAGTGGTTCACTAGCTTTGCTCCTCTTCCTGAGTCGTATTTCAAAGCTGTTGTATACAGCAGACACGTACTCCAAGGAATCCATGTATAAAAAGGAATAATGAGACAAAAATGTGATTCGTTGTTAAACTAATTTGCATATGCCCACTCAGAATCCCTTGAGGTAGTAAGTGCAGATGTGACATTACTGTGGGAAATGCAAGTCTTATGGCTTGTCGGGTGTGCAGATCTGTGTTAAACTTACTTATATACATTTATATACAAATAAAAAAAATATAAGAAAGTGGGCACTCACAGGTAGTGATGTCCTGAACGATTCGCCGCGGACGGCGAACATATGACCCTGTACCTCACAGTCAGCAGACACATTCCAGCCAATCAGCAGCAGACCCTCCCTCCCAGACCCTCCCACCTCCTGGACAGCATCCATTTTGAAGCTGCATTCTTAGTGAGCTGTCCAGGAGGTGGGAGGGTCTGGGAGGGAGGGTCTGCTGCTGATTGGCTGGAATGTGTCTGCTGACTGTGAGGTACAGGGTCATATGTTCGCCGTCCGTGGCGAACCGTTCGGGACATCACTACTCACAGGACTTTTAAGTAAAAAATAACAACTTCTAAATAGTGAATAACATCAAAAAGCACATCGTTAATGTTTCGGACGCGAGCGCAGGTTTTCCTCAAGACCAAAGTTGTTCCAAACATCTAGGAATATAGGCAGAAATAAATAATATTTGGAAAAACCACAGTCATCCAATTCACTCCCTGCATAGAAGCAGGGAAGACCATAGAGACGAACTGTCGGCTTTCAAACACTATCTGACACAAGGTGTATGGAAAACGGTTTCACACTAAATGAAAGGGTAACACCATAGGGCTCCAGGCACTATAACCACTTCTGGTTATAGATAAAGTGTCTAGTGTCCCTATAAGTAGATCTGTCATTCCCAACATGTGTCGATGGCAAAATCTTTGTGCTGCCCTACAAGATGAATCTTTTATATGCTTCCCAATTAGATTTCCCACAGTCTCTTTTAAAACATTGTAAATAAAAAAAATAAAAAAATCTAAATGCATATTTTATAGCACATATCAAAATCAGTGCATATCATCTGACAGTTCAACTACATTCCCAAGCTCAGATAAAGAGCACTGATTACATTTTTTCACGGACCAAGAGTAAATCAAAGGATGATGAACTTTTGTAAATCGATTTGTTTCCGACTTTCATGGCTTCTATAGGTGCCAGATTTCATATGTACAAGTTTCTCATTCGCCCTGAGGCAGGTCAATTTGATACAATGTTGAATGTGTTTGTTTCCATAGTTACCAAACAAAAATACGCTTTTATTGAACAATAATCCTGTCTATGCCATGATCAGAGAAAACCATTTAAGCTATGAAACATCGTCATAACTGTGTTTCAACTTCTTTTTCAACTCAGTCATGGCGTCAGAAAAAAATGGAGACTTTTTATTAATTTAAGCATCTCTTATTCGAAATATAGATTCTCTATTGTCCAAGAAAAATAAACAGATGGACACATAACAAACCCACTTTCATTGAAGTTTATGATGCTAGAGGTCTCTTTCTTATTGTACTAGTGACTCTTAGAGTAATTGCACCCAAGCCTCACAGCACCATAACCACCGCAATAAGGTGTCCAATAAGCTGCAGTAGTTATGCAGTTTAAAAGATATTTATCCATTTTGTACACAACTCTCTGCAAGAATTAGTTGCAATTTTAAAAATCATAATTTGTAATGTACCATAACAATTGGATTATAGGAAGGGACAAGAGACAGAGTACCTTAATCTAAATGGACACATGCGTATTAGACCCCTTATTGCAGTGATAGCAAACCTGGGGACCGCAGTGTTGGCAGAGCATGGGGGGAAAAAA